AAATAAGATGGGCGGCGTGGATGGAGCAAGAGGGAGGGAGGAAGGCATGCAGCGTCAGCGCAGCCACAGGAGTTTTGCAATAGACTCAAAAAGAGTGTCGCACAAGGAACGCAGACAGAGTCGTATTCTGGGAGTAAAGCCAGGGACAGGGGGGTTCATGTGAGGTAAGATAGACGCCTTGTGGTCCTCCTCGTTTTCTCTATTTCACTTTAGGTGCTGCGACTTTTGTTCAATTGTTGGGACGGGGTCCGTGATAATCTGCATCCGTGCACACGAAAATGGCAGCATAAGGCAGAGAATAGTGTCTCTTGTCTCTCGTCTCTTGATAAGACGTCCTGTAATTGGGGTTACCTTGAAGCTTCGAAGGCTTGCAGTCGATGGAGAGAGCAAGCCTCTTCCGCATAGAGCTACTTCGTACTATCACAAACGGCATTTCTCACACACACACACCCCTTGACAGAGGACTTCCTACGTCGGAGCTCTTCCCCCCTTCCCACCACCAAGTCTCGAAGAAGTCAACATCTCGAGAGCGGACATCCTCCAGTCGCTCAGTCACATGCTGGTGCACATGTTCCGCGTCCCCCCCCTCGATCTGACGGATGCGATGCTGCAGAACCCCGGACCTCCCTCACACACCACCACGACCCCAAAGAGGAAGTGTTACGCCCACCGGACGGGTAGTAATCTACCCCATTCCAGGAAATGAGAAGGAGGTTGCCACAGGATGGAACTCCTCTTTTCGCATGCTGTGGAACTTGGAAGGGTTGCAGAAGAGCCTCATGGCTTCACCGGGATACCGGAACAAGCCCTACTCAGGGTCACATTGCAGATGAACCTACTTCGTAACCCCCTGTCCTTAGAGTCGGTCGGGCCAAGGAGTTTGTCGAGACGAACCCTTTTTTTTTTTTTTTTTTTTTTTTTTTTTTTTTCATCTTGGTCAATTGAGATGGTCGAAGATGTCGTATTCCCCATCATCCTCTTTGACAAGAGTCTGCCTGTTCGCAGTAGCGCTGTCGTCAGCGTCAGCAACTCAATGAACCCGGTGAAGAGAAAAACCATTCTTTCAACAGGTGATTTTATCCCCAGGATATCCATATCCGACCAGAGTTGCATCTTCGGTATTTTTTTTCCTTTTTTTCTTCTTCCGTTTTTCCCCGTCGATCGCAGGAGATGGTGAATAAACCTCCTGATGGATCAGACCGAGAGAACGCAACGCAGCACCTTCGTCAAGAGCCCTACTAGTGTCGTGGCAAGGTGGTCTCTATTCTCGCTGTAACCAGTCGCAGTGGACATGGGCCGCAAGATTTGATGTCGACATCAATGATTTCGGAGGAGGACCATCCAAAGAGGGACTATTATCGCCGACATAAAGCGCGCCTTGGCGAGCGCAACGGGCCTCATTGGTGCGGTTGGCGTTGCGGGCGCGCAAGCCGCAGAACAGAACAAGGTGCAAGACCAGGCTGTGTTCTTCCGTCTCTTGTGTTCTTTATTTATTATACTTATTTATTCTTGATGCAAGACACATAAGACATGTAGGGGGGCAATAGTTGATCGAGACTGCATACGCCAGCATATGGCGAAGTCTATTCTCTCTGTTTCATAGGCCAATGCCCAGACCTCCCTTTGGCCTGTCCTCCCTCCTCCTCTTGCCTCCCTATTTACGTCTCGGTGACTCGATGTTAACACCCACCTTGCAAGGCTGGAGGAAAGCCGTTCCCTATTTTGCTCACCCGCCGCATGCAATCTTGAGAACCCGCAGCGTGATGATACTGACAACTACGCTTCTCCTCTCTCTCTCTTTCTCTCCTCCTCCCCACCTCCATCTCGGCGTAGAGGTGGGAGCTTTGACTTTCCAGTTTGAGAAACCCGCGATTTCAGGACAGAGATGACCCTCATGGAAGAGATAGCAAAAACGAGGTCTTGTTTCGGTGTTCAAGCCACAAAAGTGTGCCACCTGCAATGTCCGATGACATACCATAGAAGAACAACTGAAAGAGGTAATGGGCTTTTGCTCGTTTCATCTCGCTGCAGATATCCCGGCAATCTGGAGAGAGATTCGTATTCTAGTATCTTCGTTCTTCATGTCGGTGATGGGCAAAAGGGAAATGCTTGCGAAAATGGAAGAAAAAGAGAAGAGAAGAAGTTGTGATGGAAATGAGGTGAAAAAGAAATTGGCTCAGACTTCACCACGAAATAAAATATGAGCAAACCAGAGACAAAAAAGCTCCGGATGTTCGAGTAGCATTCGTACCTTACTTGTGGTATCCGGGGAGAGCTTTTAGCTTCCTGCGACGTAACTCTTAATATCTGTATTATAGGGGAAACCCTCAAGGATGGCCGCCTTCATATTGTATAACGGCTAGACCTCAACTCTTTCCTCAACCTCATCTTGGCCCAAGATGTAGAAAAGAAGAATGGGTTCATACTTCTCCGTAGATACTTCTCGCCTTCGCCCTCGCCCTTGCCTGTCTCAGTCAGATCACGCCTTCTCCCTTCTTCCGATGCCGTCCTCTTTACGAAGTACTCTCCCACCTCCCCGACGGGAAACGAGCAGCATCTCGGCATGCTTGCAGTGGTATCCTGGACCACCACAAACAGTATGAAGACGGCGAGATAGGCTTTCTTCGGGAACCGAGCGCGCATCGGTGACAACCAGAAGCTAGTCCTCCGCTTTCAAGGAACCCCCAATCCATTAGAGACGGCCTGCGTAACCAACCCCACAACCCTATTCGAGCCCATCCCGCCTGGCACTTCCCCCCCGCCACCCGCGTCCAGTGCCATATAACTAGCAGATTCCTCACATCGTAATGCCAAGTTGCGCCACCATCGAGTTTAGACATATGGGAGGTACCAAGTATATTCGCGTCCTCACCGGGTTCAGTATATGCACCAAGGCTAAAGAAAAGGGGGGGTGGGTGGGTGGGGGAAGAGGAGGGAGTGTGAACGGGAGAAAGGGCAAAATTGCAGGAGAGGTTGGTAGCGAGAAGGGGGAGGCGTCCAGTCTTGAGGCGAAGAACAGGAAACTTGGCACTGCGGGTCTCACTTCACGTTGCTTTTCTTTCAGGTTTGCGGGAGGGTTTTCGAACCGTGGGCCGTGTTAGACAGACACCCCCCCCCCAAGATGAGAGGCCATCCACCCCAAGAGCCACTAGTTCCTAGGCAAGATGGAGGGGAGGGCATGTAGTATCAATACTGCTAACACCGGGGGAGTGCAAGCCCTGCAAGAGCTAAAAGGCTGGAGCTTGGGCCAGAAACAACATCTTCCCGTCTCGGGGACCACCATCTTCCCTTGTTGCGAATGTAGACGGTGAAGCACACTGCATCGAACTTTATCAACACTACTGTGTAAGTCGGGATTCGAGGAGCTGGAGGGTGGGCACCTTGTCATGTTGAGTTAAACCCATTTGTTTGATTCAGAAGACGAAAATGTGTCTCCACAGAATGGGCAAATTTTTGCATATGCCCGCATGAAATGATCCCGGCTGTTTCTTATTGTTCATCTTCGAAAGAAAGAAGGCCAAGGGGAGAAAAGGAAGAAGGAAAAAAAAAAGCACGCAAACACGGGACGGAGTCAATGGCCGTATCAGAAGAACTGCATTACCTCTCTTAGGTTGGTGGGCTACTTCATGGCGTAATGAGCAGTTCTTGGAAAGTGGACCTACACCTTTTGGTAGTTGGGGGAGCTACAAGTAGTTGAGGTTATGACGAGGAAGTAAAACCGAGATGACAGGCAGCGGGGCTGTCATGGCGTCGGTCTTGAAGATGAACCCCCCCCCCCCTTCCAGAGGAAGAATGGGGAGTGAGGCGGATGGGGGTGAGAAATAGGTCTGGATCGATCACATCTCGCAGAGCGAAGAAGATGGGAATACGATACGCGAGATGAGAAATGAAGACTCTTTCTCGGAATCCGTACATTCCACTTTGTGCACTTGTAGCGTAATGGGTTGGCCAAGCCCTACAGTTCTCAGATATTGTTGAGATCAGATGTACTCCATAGCTAGTGGCAGTAAAACTAGATCAGTGTGTCCATGGAAACGGCAGGGTGGCCAATAACACTGAAACACGCAGTCGGCTGATGATATTCTGCACAGAATACCAATACCAGGCTTCCCTAGTAACTCAACAACTTGCAGCAAATATCTCGCCATTCATCAACGCCATTGTCATTGCGCCGAGGATGGAGACGCCAGCGGATAGCAAGAAACACTGGTGCCGTAGTAGACTCCGTCCACCTGAGGAGCACTAGGAAAGCAGGACGGGAAATGCGGACGAAGGGGCGAAGAGGCCGAAACACTAGGGCATCTTGAAAATGCATGCAAGTTCCAGAACTATAGTGCCAGGGAGAGACCTTCTGACACAACACGTAATCAGATCAATAGGTCGGGGTGTAGTGATAGTGTCCTCAGCCTCCGCATTCTTGGCTTTGCATTGGTTGAGTCTCGGGGAAGCAAAGCCGAGAAACAAGAGCAGAAGCCATTAAGGCCGACAGTCTTGGGTAATCTTTCGAGATATCTCGTTATCCTGTCTCTCGTGGAAGCTTGCGTTCCACGTCATGGCATGAAGCATTTGCGTGCAGTGATTAACTCACGTGCCACTCACGAAGCGACGCGGGAAGATCACGAGAGAGAAGTCGTAGTAAGGTGAAAAGTTCAAAGTGGAATGGCTCTCTATTCAGTGCGCGCGTGAGCGCTCGGTATATTCTTGTCTATAGTAGACTAGGTAAGTAATGTATGTATATGGTGATGGTACAGGTCGGACACCGATGATTGTGCACGAGACGAGACTGGCAGGCCGGAAATGGCTCATGCTGGCCGGAGCTTCTAGGAGAGCGGTAAGTAGCCTTCGCGAGGGATCAAGATGTCAAAACTAGGGGTTGCGAAGGGAGCACCTCGTGAGCAGGTCGCGACGTAGCAAGGGGTACGTTTCGCCGACCAAGTGGCCGGTGCCAACGTCAGGACCTTTCGCTAAGCAGCTGTAGATCGACGCTAGCGGAACGGACACTACACGATCTCAACCCATCGAGGAAGGTAGAACCTGACGTTCTCGTACACCAAGAACGTCACCCAAGTAGCAGGAAGCACTCTCACAACTCCAGTCATGAGACCCCTGTAGAACCCCCTAACGCCCTCCTCCCGCCATATCCTCACAACAACCTGGCGGACGCCCCTCCCGAACCTCTCGTCGGCGTCGTAATTCTGCATCCTGCTCCTCAACACCTGCTGCGGATACGTCACAGCGCCCGCGACGAGCTTCGCCAAGCTCGAAATGACAAGCGTCGACTCGGTCGTCATCATCTCCTTTTGACTCTCACCCCTCCGTCCCCTCTGTCCGAAGTACATGCGTTTCGCCGGCTCGTACACGGCGAATTGCACGGCCCCGTGGGATACCCCGAGGAGACTGACGCCGAGGCCGCGGTAGAAGCCGGAGATCCCTTCGGTCTTGAAGAGCCGAGCTGCGCCGGACAGCATGCCGGGGTAAGCGCCCTGGGCTGAGCGGTCCGACGAGAGGATGCGCGTCTTGAGCACCCAGATGGGGTTCGTCATGACCTGCGTCAGGGCTCCCGCAATCCCGGAGGCTATGAAGTAGTCGGCCGGATTGAGCTTCGCCTTGATTGAAGACGAAGACGGATGGTCCGTAGTTAGGCCCTTCCATGTCGCGAGGGTGCGTTCGGCGCGGGTCTTGAAGAAGAAGAAGATGGACCAGCTCGCTGCGTTTCCGACGAGGTTCGGAGTTAAGCCGCGATAGAGGGAGGCAATCGGATGGGGGGTGCGGATCATGTCCCGGATGATGGCCTTTGTGGTGATTTGCGATCCTCCGTTCAGGGTGCTTCGGTGTACTAGACAGGGAGGAGGGAAGGGCAATTAGTATAATGGCGTGGTCTCGGATTGGGGGCTGAAAGGCTGGGAAACACAAACTTTGCATCCGAGTCTTGACAATGTCGAGAGGATGCACGACCAGAGTGGCTATTGAGCCAGCCGTGAGGCCGGCGATGGACTCGACTCCAGCGGGAGTAAGGCCCGCATGCTTGGACGCACCCATGGAAAGATCATGTAAATTGGTATTTATATTGACTCGTACATGATCATTACCAAGTCGCTATCATGATAGCGAGTGTTGGGAGATGGTGCGGTGCGGTGCGATGCGATGCGATGCGATGCCGCTGGGTTGTGCTTTGAAGGCGATTTGTAAGGGACATTTTTTTTTCTTCCAGGCCGAGCTTCGAGGCAGAGCTCGGGTAGCGCAGGCGCAGATCAATTGTGACGTCGTCCGAAATTGCCGTCAGATTTTCGGGACAATTTTTAGAGGAAGAAGCGCCCCGGCAGGGATTCATCATCATTCGAAGACTTAGAAAATGGACGAGAAATACAGAGAGAGATGCCCGAGTTAAAAAATGATTTCGAGTTAACCTGCTACATGCATACAGGGAGAGAGAACATGACTATTGTTACAGATCCGTCGCCGGCTTCTTGTGCGGCAACAGAGTGGAATCCATCAACCTGGGCCTTTATGGCCATCTATCCCCCTATTTTCCGTTTCGTATCAAGACATCTTCGTGGACTAAAATGCGGTTCCGATCATCGGGTTCCGTGGCATTTTTGATTATGGCTATTCGGTGAATGGGTTGGGTTGATGTTTAGAAGAGAGGAGAGATGAGTCTGTCGTTGGGTCAGCTTAGACCAAACCAAAGTAGCCAGAGCGATTGTTGTGTTGTCTTACCGGATGAGAGACGGCCTGGGCTCGCTGCGGGTGTATCCTATATGTGAAGTGTGAGTAGACAATCTTCTTATCGTGAATCAGCATCTTGGTCCGTACCAAGGTAGAGGATCAGGGGGATGTAGCCACTAAACGGAGGGTCAGGTTAGCATCGCTCGCACTCGGAAGCCTGAGATGGATGAAGACATACTAGTGGATGGCAACCCTGGAGATCTCCATGACGCGGCCAATGCGCTCCTGTTTCCTCAATATCAGCAAGCCTGCACCACGACTTGGAAGCTATCGTGGTCGAACGGGAGGAGTGGTTACCTTGGACTCTTCGGAGAGGGTGAAAACGGGAGACATTGTGATGGATTAAACTGGTGTGGCTTCGAGCGATATTGTGTTTCTGGTAACGTCGATAGACTTGGTATGTCTTCTTGTGAGCAGCGAAAGCGGTGTGTGATGTCGAAGAGTCGAAGATGGACTGTTGGAAGGAGCGCAGCAGTAACAAGAACTTGTAGAGAGCAAGTTCAAATGCGATCACGCCTGCCAAAAATTCACACCGCGCTCAAAAAATTCAATTGGTCCGTGCACAGACAGCCTTTTTTAACTTTCTCCTTCACCGAGGGTGGTTTCGGTGAGTAGCCAATGAGAGGGGAGGATATTGGCTTCATCTTCACACAGCGACTCATCTCGTCAAGAACAGGTCAAAATCTAGTGGAGGATTTTCTACTTCACTGATACTGCTACCTGAAAAGGGGAGAAATTATTTATTACTTTTTCTTTTCATCCCAAAATGACAGAAAAATCACCAAAAGTAGAGTATTTATCTACAGGTGCAAACAGGCACAGCTCCATTGCTGATTGGAGTGCAGATGGTGTTTTGGCCTTCGGTGCAAGCAACAATGTTGCTTTGTGGAGGCCAGAGGTGAGTCGATTCCAAGGGAAGTCGGGGATGAAATGAAACGAAATACACCTAACTTAAAATCAGTCATCTTCTCCCAAGGGAATAAATACTGTCCTGAGCGGCCACACTGGTGTCCTCAAGGTAGTCAAGTTTCTGCCTCGAGCTAAGGAAGACCAAGTATCCTACCTCGTCACCGGCGCCGACGACCTGAAGCTCAAGCTGTGGTCGATAAATGGCGACCTCTCTGAATGCAAGTGCCTTCACACTGTCGACTCGCACTCGACACCAATCACCTCCCTCGCCGTGTTAAAGTCATGGTCCAAGCCTGGCCCTGTGATTCTAGCTTCTGGCGGTGCAGACGAGACCGTTAGGATATGGAAGTTCGACGCCGGCCAGATCCATCCTCTCCAGACCATCAAAACCAACCGGGAACCTCGGTACATCCCGCTATCTCTGGCCCTGACCACGCTCGGTAGCGATAGCAATACCCTGGTCCTTGCCGTGGGAGGAACGAGAAAGACGATACATGTATATGCCGCCAGCGTACTTGATGAGACTATCGAATTTAAACCGCAGGCTACACTATCCGGCCACGAAGATTGGATCCGATGTCTCGACTTCACACTCGAGAGGAGGGATGACGGGCCCGGCGACCTGCTATTGGCCTCTGCCAGCCAGGACAAGTATATCCGTCTCTGGAGACTCCACGAAGGTACTCAACTGCCCGAGTTGTCTGCCGCCGCTGCCTCAGATCCCCTAAGAAATGCCTACCTCCCAGGGAAAGCCCCGTCCAACAAAGCCCACAGATTAAGAGTCCGCGATAGGGACTTTTCCATCACATTCGAGGCTCTACTCTTGGGCCATGAGGATTGGATTTACTCTGTGCAGTGGCACCTCGGCGCAGATGGCGTGTCCAAGTTGCTCTCAACGTCTGCGGACAACTCCCTCGCCATCTGGGAGCCTGATCCTGTGACCGGTATCTGGGCGAGCACGACCCGCTTGGGCGAGATCAGCCGCGACAAGGGAGCAACGACGGCGACCGGCAGTATCGGTGGCTTCTGGACGGGCCTCTGGAGGGCTGATGGGAAATCAATGGTCTGTCTCGGACGCACGGGAAGCTGGAGGCGTTGGGATTATAGCGAAACGAACGAGAGATGGGATCCCGCCATCGCCGTAACAGGACATACGAAGGCCATTACCGGCATTTCCTGGTCAAGGAACGGCGCATACCTCTTGTCCACGAGTTCCGATCAGACCACCCGTCTCCACGCGGCGTGGACGGCTGGAGGGCAGAACACCTGGCACGAAATGTCCAGACCGCAAATCCACGGCTACGACTTGAACTGCATCGATTCGCTGAGGGATACCGAGTTCGTCTCGGGAGCCGACGAGAAGCTGATGCGTGTGTTCAGGGAGCCTCGAGCCGTGGCTCGCCTGTTGAACAAGCTCTGCGACTTTGGTCAGTCCGGCGTCGAGGAGATGCCCGACGCCGCCAACATTCCCGTCCTTGGTCTATCCAACAAAGCCGTCGACGCCGAGGACACTTCCGCGCCCGAAATCGCCGGTCCAGGCGCAGGCCCAGGCAACAACCAGGGCGGTGGTGAGACAGTAGACACGGCCACCGCCGCACTGCGGTCGGCCCTCGATATCGATCGCCCGCCCTTCGAAGACGCTCTGTCCAAGTACACGCTCTGGCCCGAGATCGAGAAGCTCTATGGCCACGGCTACGAAATCTCTTGCCTAGCCGTAAGCAACGACGGCACGCTCATCGCCAGCGCCTGCAAGGCCAGCTCGGTGAACCACGCTGTCATCCGGCTCTTCGAAACGGAGCGGTGGACCGAGGTCAAGCCCCCGCTTGTCGCCCACTCGCTGACAGCCACGCGTTTGCGGTTCTCGCCGGATGATAGATTTCTCCTGAGCGTCGGGCGAGATAGGCAGTGGGCCGTTTTCGAAAGGGATGCGGAGGATCGGACGAAGTATGCGCCGTTGCAGCTGAACCCTAAGGGCCATGCGAGGATGATACTTGACGCCGCGTGGGCTCCGTCGTGTGAGGAGGATGGGCCTCGAGCTTTCGCTACCGCCGGTAGAGATAAGCAGGTCAAGACGTGGTTGGCGAAGGACATTGAGGGGAAGTTGGCCTTTTCGGCTGCTACTACGATTCCTTCGAAGTATCCTGTGACTGCGATTGATATCCTCCGGACGAGGAACAGGGATGGTCACTCTGTCCTCGCCGTCGGTAACGAAGCTGGCCAACTGTCGATCTACTCCCTCAACACCAGAGATCTTTCCATAGTGTCTGAAGTACACCTGGATGAGTCGTGAGTTCTCCTTGTCTTTCCGTTGTTTTTCAATCCTTATTTCCTGCTAACCGTACAACAGCCTATGCCCTTCCAAGGCAGTCCTCCAACTTGCCTGGCGACCAACCAAAGCAGAAGAGAGACCAGAGGGCCATGATCTAGCCATTGCTAGCGAGGATACATGTTTGCGGATATACCACTTTGACGACATCTAAATAAAACCAAAAAAGGAGAGAGAATAAAGCGTAGAACAAAACGGAGATATGGGTTATTACTATTATTAGCCCCGGGGCAGAAAAGTATATACATTCGCATTAGGGCATTTATAAGGCATTATAGGAATAAAAGAGCAAAGAAAAGGAAACGGAGATGTGACAATAGTCTCCTCCCCGTTTGCGCCCCGAGAATCAAGGAAGAACGAGTCCTCAACGCCCAACCCTCCAGTATGCCCGAAGTTCTCTCCTCTCATCCAGCATTACCGCGGGACCTAGGGATCTAGGCAAAAAGAAAAAACTTTTCCCCCAAGCACTCTACACCACCATCTAAAAGAAAAGAAAACTGCCGAATCGTCCCCACCTCTTTGCATTTTGTTCATAAGTCCCTTATCATCTCCGTCGCAGCCTCGGCAACAGAACTAGCCGTCGACGTCCCCGCATTCAAGGCGCCCTGCGCAAGCGTATGAACGGCATCCTTTGTCAATTCCAAGACGTCGACGCTATCTCCGTGGGCGTAGAACCAGGCGCGGTTCATGAGGAAGATGATGTGGTGGGGGAGGTAGAGGATCGTTGCGATGAAGGTGAGACTGGCGAGGAGGAAGACGAAGGACCCTGTTGTTTCACATTTCGTTAATCTCGTTGATTTTTCTTCAAGTGTTATCTCTAACCGATTTTTTTTTTTTTTTTTTTTTTTTGTTCCCTTTGTGGTTGAATCGCAAAGGTGCAAGAGAAAGAAAGGGGGAGAAAGCGTACAGAAGATGAACTTTTCGAAAGGGGTGTAGATGTAGACGCTAAAGGTGACTTCGAGCTGATACTTCTTGAGCTCAAGCCACCGGACAAACGAAGCGAGGAAAGCCATTGTAGGGAGCGATTCGACGAGAAGCGAGGGCGGTTGTCTATCGAGTCGTTGGTTTTCGGGGAGAGAGAGGGCTGTTTGGTTCGCGGTGGCCGGGCCTCTCCTCTCGGGTTGGGAGGGAATATTGTGTTTTCGGTACGAGTGCTCGCTTCAATTCCACGTATGCGCAGGTTTATAATCAAAGAAAAAAAGAGACCTTGGGTGTTTGCGAGGGTTGTTGCGTCGAGGAAAAATGGGGTGAGGTGAGTAAAAGAGATAGAAGAAAATGGACGAGGTTCTCGAAACGAAAGGGTCTGATTCTATTTACGGTTCGCGTGCCCCTGGCACTAATTTGATCTTGCGCTTCAGAGGACGTCAGTACGCCCGAAGCCCGAAGGAATTCAATTCAAGGCTAAAGCGTGCTAACAATTTCGCCCAATCACTCTTCCAAAGTAAATACAGCGGGGCCTTCCCAACTACAGAGTACGAAGTACGAAGTACAAAGAAAAATACTCTCTACTCGCACTGACGTTGATATGTGCGAGCAGAACTCCAGGAAAGCTTGAAGCTTTGCGGAGTTCATACGTTGAAATTGGAATGGCTGAAGCCATTCCAATTTTGATTTCTTCATTTCAGTTCCCATTTTCAGTTCCCATTTCTGTTCCCATTTCTGTTCCCATTTCTATTCCCATTTCTTTTTAGAATATAAGGGGGGAGACCCCCCTCAACCCCCCCCCATTTGCCTGCGGCTGGCCCCAGCTGACAGAAACCTCACCCCCTCTCCACTTTTACACCAAACGCCCCCCTACCCCACCGAAAAGTAGCTACTTTCAAAAAACCACTTCTGAAATCGATGAAATATTAGTTAAAAGAAAGAAGGAAAAAAAAAGTCAGCAATAACCCATATCATTCTTTCCAAATAACCTGGATGCGTAATTTTTTCATGCTTCTGTTATGTTGGAAACAGTACTAAAAGTGGCACACTAACTTCGTACCTCCAGCAAGAGGTGACTATGACGCTTTTTTGCGGAGCCATTACCATGTTCCCGTGACTACTGACCAATGACAGGAATAAAAAATTTTCACCGCCCAATCAGCGATCAGTGCGAAACAAAGTGGTCTGTGCCATCTTTTTTTTTTTCTGGTATGGGGAGGGGTATGGAATAGAAGAAAAGGGGGGGTGGGGGACCGATTTGAACTTGCTCAAGCTGCGCTTTCCCTGCGTATTGTTCTTCGAAATCTACGAATTCTCAAAACACTCCTTGGGAAAGCTTCGCTTTCCCGACAAGGGTTGGTATCAATTGAATCGATGAATCCGTCGAGATCGAGCGCATCACGACGCAATGCTCCAGCTCCCTCCATCGACGACTCTTCCCGACTGAACACTCGCCAGGCGCTCAAGAAGCATCAAATTCCACCCCCTGCTCGATCTCCTAATCGATAATGTGATCGAACGTACCCATCATGCCACTCGCCCGCCCCTTCATCACTCTCCGTGCCACTCTCCCACGCCGCCTATTCACCACCACGCCTCAGCTCTCCAAGATCCTCCCTCCCCGACCAAAACCTCCTCCTGACTCTGAAATTGAAGAAGTCTTCATAAAAGGCAGCGGTCCCGGCGGCCAAAAAATCGTACGCCCTTCCCTGTCTCTCCTCTCTTCCCCCTCAACCCAGCAAGCCCGACTAAACACAAAACTTAGAACAAAACCAACTCCGCCGTCCAACTAAAGCACCTCCCAACCGGCATCGTCGTAAAATCCCAAGCCACCCGCTCGCGCTCCCAGAACCGCGCTATCGCACGCAACATCCTCGCCCAGCGCCTCGACGAGTTATATAACGGCGAGCAGAGTCGGTCGGCTATCGTAGGGGATGTCAAGCAGAAGAAGCGCGCGAGCGCTTCTAAGAAGAGTAGGAGGAAGTATCGAAAGCTCGAGGAGGAGAAGAGGGCTGCGCTGGGCCTTCAGGAGGACGACGGCGATAGAGAGAGCGAGGAAATCCGTCGAACGGACGAACTAAACGGGGAGCCTAGCGGCGAGAAAGGCAACGATGACGTAGAGAAGCCGCAGGAGCTCAACGAGTCTGCGTCTCATCTCGAAGAGAATACTCCTGCCGCCACTGAGAAGGGGAAGACATCTTCAAGCAACCCGAACGATCTGTAACCATACCGCCTTTGCTTTTTATACGACTATAGAATTGTACGCATAACATAGGAATAGAACCAATACCTCCGTAGACTGTATCATCACCATCACCAGTAACACCATGTACAATCCACTGCGCCTATACATCCCCGATCCATCGCCATCACTCATCGTAGCATCACAAAACACCGAGGACTAATCAGCAAACAGAACAGAAGAACAACATCTTGAAGCCCACGAATTTTGACATTTCTTCGCGAGTATGCGACCAAAAGAAACTACAACTGTGCAACATCGCCTCGACGCATCTAGATAAAAGAGGGTGAAGCAATGTGTATTGTATGAACCACAATTGTTGTTAAGCGAGTCCACTCCTAACCGCGCACCTGCGCATCCCTCCCGGCTATTGGGAAAAAAAAAAGGGACAGAAGAACAAGGGAAAAAAAGAAATGAGGGCATTTCGTGAATTTCGTGTGACCGAACAACGCTTGGGAAAGCCCAATCCCCCCCTCCGACCAGGTCAAAAAATAAACTTTTTGGTGTGTTTAACTATGAGACTCGACAGGAATACATGGGTAGCGGCTCAAGTGCTTTGAGTATTGGTCGCAACCTCCGAACGACGGCGTGGGCTCGTGAAGAGAGAGTGGGTATGACGTGGGACCAAGTGAACTACACATGAACGACACAATTATAATATTAGTTCCCTGTCCTCATATACTGTCTAAAAAAAGAGCGCAAACTGGTTGGTAATGGTCGTCTCTAACCTTAGAAGCACTTTCGGTGGACAATCGAGGGACCGCTCTCGTCGTACTCCTGCTTGGAGATCCACATCTGCTGGAAGGTCGACAGAGACGCCAAGATAGATCCACCAATCCATACGGAGTACTTTCGCTCAGGAGGAGCAATGATCTTGACCTTCATCGAAGAAGGAGCAAGAGCAGTGATCTCCTTCTGCATACGGTCGGAGAGACCAGGGTACATGGTAGTACCACCAGACTATTAAAGCAACATTTGTTAGCACGATCCATCTAGAGAGATAGATAAAGAAGTGATGGTGGACAGGAGAAAACTCGTCCTCGACACCAGGAATAACATACCATGACGATGTTGCCGTAGAGATCCTTTCGAACGTCGACGTCACACTTCATGATCGACTGCCAAGTGGTAACGTGGATACCACCGCTCTCAAGACCGAGGACAGAGGGCTGGAAGAGGGCTTCGGGGGCACGGAATCGCTCGTTGCCGATGGTGATGACCTGACCATCAGGAAGCTCGTAAGACTTCTCCAAGCTGGAGCTCTGGGCAGCAGTCTGGATCTCCTGCTCAAAGTCAAGGGCGACGTAGCAGAGCTTCTCCTTGATATCACGGACGATTTCACGCTCGGCCGTGGTGGAGAAGGAGTAGCCTCGCTCAGCCAAGATCTTCATGAGGTAGTCAGTCAAGTCACGACCGGCCATGTCGATACGGGCAATGGCGTGGGGAAGCGCGAAACCCTCGTAGATGGGGACAACGTGGGTCACACCATCACCGGAGTCGAGCACAATACCGGTGGTACGACCGGAGGCGTACAGAGACAGGACGGCCTGGATGGAGACGTAGAAGGCGGGGGCGTTGAAGGTCTCGAAGACGATCTGGGTCATCTTCTCACGGTTGGACTTGGGGTTGATGGGGGCCTCGGTAAGGAGGACGGGGTGCTCCTCGGGGGCAACACGGAGCTCGTTATAGAAGGTGTGGTGCCAGATCTTCTCCATGTCATCCCAGTTGGTGACGACACCGTGCTCAATAGGGTAGCGGAGGGTGAGAATACCACGCTTCGACTGAGCCTCGTCACCGACATAGGAGTCCTTCTGGCCCATGCCAATCATGATACTGGATTACGCGAGACGCGGTTAGGAAGAGCTCTCTTAGGTCTCTTTCGAGAGTGGTGAGGCGGAACTGCGACGGAGCCATGGCTGCTGCCGCCGCAGCTTGGGGAGGGTCATGAGGAAAGGGACATACCCATGGTGGCGAGGACGGCCAACGATAGAGGCTACAAGCAGCGGTCAGCACATCATGCTTGACATGAAGAGACTAGCTTTTTCGACTTCCCTCCAGAGGCGGAGATGGAATCAAATGTAGGGCAGGGAAAAGGGCGGGGGTCTAAACTTACGGAAGACAGCACGAGGGGCATCGTCACCGGCGAAACCGGCCTTGCACATGCCGGAACTATCATCCGAATTAGATACTGAAGACCGCGAGGAAGTATTATCTATCAAATATTGATGGACCCCGTAGTTTTGAGACTCGTTCCCTGGTCCTCGCAATGGATTTGGGGACAGTCGGGATGGTAAGGACGAGATGTCTCAAAAGGGGGGGTGGGGAGCTAGCCCAAGGTCGGTGAGAAGGGCCGGCGGGGGGGAGCAAAGGAAGCTTACCCATTGTCGATAACGAGGGCGGCAACTTCGTCTGTCGTCGGGAGAAGCAAATATCAGCAAATGATGCATCTCGATAAGGGAACGTCCGCGGTTGACTTGTGGTCGGAGAACAAGCTGATCTGACTTGTGGCCAGAGCAGCCGAGATAGATACAGGAAAATTTGACGCTGACGTACCTTCCATTGTGACGGTTTACTGAAGATAGGAGAATATGAGAGAAATTCGTTCAGAGAAGAGAAAAGAACTGGAATTAACGAAGCTCGCGCGATCCAGATCGTGAGAGCAGAAGCGGGCTTGAAGTGTCGTGAGGAGGTTTAAGAAAGAGGCGGTGGCTTTCTAGATTGGGGATGTCGAGAGGTAGAAGGGGGGAAATAGAGGAGACTTGGAATTTATTCGGGTGGTGGGGGTGGTAGTAATGAGGGAAGAACTAAGGTACGAAGGAGGCAGTACACTTTGTAGTATTTCAGTGGTGTCGATGTCCTAGATTGGGGGGAGAGTGTTGTGTGTGGGCGTGGGCGAGGGTGTTGGCTTGGGGTGTTGGGTGTGGTACAAGTACAGGTACGAAGGAATCTGGTGGCCTGGGGCAGCTAGCTGCGAGTCCTAGACCAGAAAGCAGGGAGGACAGTTGTGCGCTAGTAGTGGTACCTCTCACCTTACCAAGTTACCAGGTGATGGGACCCTTAGAGGGCAGGTGTTAGGGAATATTGAAGCCTGGCGGGAATCTGGAAGCCTAGAAGCTATGCTAGCACTAGCCAAACTAAACGACGACGGAATACTGACCCAATTGTACATAGGTAGCCGCTTTCAATTCGCCCCCTATTGCCCATCGCCCACTGCCCATTGACACGGGACCCTGAAAGAGGGCATCGATTGAGCAATCTCGACTGTCGAATCCGCTCTCGAACATGCAGTGGCACTTCGACGAAGGACGTTGTAGTTTACGATCCTCACCTCCTCACCTATCTACACCGAAAACTGGCCATACCCATCCTCTGCAGTCTGGAGATAAGATTCATTCCGAGGTGGCTGGGGCTGACTCCGACGAATCGGTATTGGCCATTGCCACCTAGCACTATGTGGGGAGGCGGTTCTTACGCGTTCACCATATCACGAGGCGGCCGCTTGTTGGTGTTTTGGGGTCGGCGAGGCCGCGTTTCGAGAACATCGTCTTCCCGCAGGCAACATTTTAGGGGCCTAATAATTCGCCGAGCCAATGGCGGGTTTGCGCATTCCTTTGGCGAGTCCTAGGCGTGCTCGGTGTGCTTGGTCGAAGCTTGGGATGTCAAATCTCGGCGAAAGTTGTACGAAGCATAGATAGATGTGAAACTGCGTCATCCTTCAGCCGAGCTTTGGATCATGGATAGTTCCGTGCCATCTTATGCTATACCACCCTTCACTATAGTCTACAAGGCATTCTATCTCGATAACCGTTCGACAAGGCCCGGAAGGCGACAACGGCGGACTTCCGCCCCAAGCGCGAACTGATGCTGGCCTCAAAATCTTTGATCATGTTGATCACCGACGCCTTGTCCATAGACCATTACCAAGGCTGATGTAGCTACCCACCGAAAGTTTATGTGGGAAGTACTTCTCTCAAGGAGAGACATGACATGGCTCTGATGGCATGCTTCTAAATCCAAGTCTTTGCCAAGCAGGCACCTAGATAGATACCCAAGTCTTGCCGCATATCATTTCCGTGTGACAAAGAAATTGGGCAGCCTGATGTTTTTTATAGCCAGTTGAACCTGCCTCGTCTGCAAGGGCAATCCATCCATCTCTGCTCCTTGGAAGTATTGTGCCATGGCAGCGTGCTCAACAAAAATATGGTCAATAATTTTGAAGGGCAGGGGTATTATTGCCAGGTTACAAGGGATCTAGAGTGCAGAGTGGGGTGTGTATTACACGTATTACACTACAATCAAGAGAGTGCGTTATTGTTGCCAACGCAAACCCTTTCCCACCAAGGAAAAGAAGTCCCCTTTGACACGCGGGAGAAGCTGGCATCTCCCCGTCGCACCTCGATTGCTGCAGCCTCCAGCGGTTCCCGCCCCGAGGCATGGGGCGGACTGGAACCCATAATCATGATGCTGTTGTTCTGTGTTCCCTCCCAGGACAGTACGAATTAAACTGCCACTAACGTCGAGCACCAAAGCAAATCAAATCCCACTTCACAAAAAAGGAGGGGCAATGTTGAGGTGGGGTAGAGCAGTTCACGGACGTTCGGGAGCACTGATCATTGGGCCATTATTGGACGGACTTGGAGGAAAGTTTACTTCGCACTGACTTCGTACCCAATGCTGCCTACTCTCCACTTGTCCAGTCCGCTCAGGAAGCAAGATGAGTTCTTTTGCATGGCCAATGCACCCGACAGCTCAAGATCTTTACTAGTATAATTTCGTCCTAGTTCGAGAGCCCCTTTTCCTCTCTCATGATGGGGGGCAAGAAATTGAAGAAACATTTCCCTAATAAAACGTTCCCGGCCCAAGGGATTTTATCGGGAAGGCTTCGCGGGTTACTCGTACGAGTCTTCGGGCATGAGACAAACCAGCAGGATTCAAACAATTCAAACAGGCCTGATACTGGGTGATGATGCCATAGCTTCCCTGATAAGTTTTTTGTGACCGGAATGTTGGGCTTAATGGATAGCAACTAAGATAATGAACAACGAGCCAATCATGAAGGAATGTTTGATTATTCATATCTTGATGCGTTCATTGTTCAACACTGAATTGTTCAAATCCGGGTTCCCCGCAACGTCAGACCACGTGACCGCCATGCAAAGGGCTGTTGCGGTTCCAGCACCATGAAGAAGCTTCCGGAAGCGGGATCAATCCAATTGGGCGGCGACCAGCGCCGATAAAAAAGTGACCGATTTTGCGACTCGATTTTTCGCAAGCTCAGGCATAACTTCACGAACCAAAACAAATTTCAAAAGATAGAATAATCACCAGATTCTAAAATCCCACAATCCCACAAAAATCGCCAAAAATGGCATCAGACAAGAGACTCAACGACCTCCTAAAATGGAGCATCCAAAACCAAGAAACCCCCGACGGCGCAGCTGCCCCCGCCAGTGAACGCACCCCACTCGACCCCAAGCTCCTCGAAGCCCTCTTCGGCGGCCCCAGCGAGCCCGAGCTCATGAAAGCCGCCATGGAGGTCATAACCTCGTCCGACCCGGAAGTCACCCTCGAGTCCAAGCTCACTGCCTTTGACAACTTCGAACAGCTCATCGAGAACCTTGACAACGCGAACAACCTTGCCAACCTCGAGTTGTGGACGCCTCTGCTCGGCTGCCTCGAACACAACGAGAGCGAGATGCGCAAGATGGCCGCGTGGTGTGTCGGCACCGCCGTGCAGAATAACATCAAGAGCCAGGAGAAGTTGCTTGCTATGGGTGGCATACCGAAGTTGATTGATGCGGTGCTGAGTGATGAGGAGGATAAGACCGTGAGGCGCAAGGCTATCTATGCGCTAAGCTCGGCGTGTAGGAATTATCAGCCTGCTATGGATGTGTGCACGACGGAGTTGGATAAGAGGGGTCATTCGCATGGGACGATTGATTCGTTGGACATGGATGCTGTTGACGTTGTCATGAATGCGCTGAAGAGCATTGCAGGGACGCAGTGATCCTTGGAATGTTACCCGAAAAGGAAAATGGTGGGACGGCAACTGTTGGTTTAAACTCGGCGTCTGGAGTATCGGACTATAGCGGGGGAGGCTTGGAATATACGGCGGCATATGGGTATAAAAGATTAGAAGAGACGGGCTTGAAAATAGATGCAAATCATTGACCATGAGTGACTGATCCATGAACCTTCAACTGAGTGATAACGTGATTTCAACGCTTCTTTCGAGATTCATACAAGTCTAGATTGTAATTGTACATAGGGTGGTTATACAGGCCGGGTTTCTTCCGTAGGCTCTACCTCATATCTGTGGCCCGTCTCTGCAAGATTATTCCGTCTTCACGAATTGCCATCTTTACTCGCTCTTGAAAGGGATACCGAGGGCACGTAGAAGCAACTGCGCCTGGCGATCCGAGGTAGCAGTTGTCTCCAAAATAAAGTGGCAGCCAGGCAAGCTCTATAAATGAAGTTAGTATGATGCCATGTGTAAGAGGCCACGCATGGTATGGCGCAAATCAACGGGAGGAGTCCAAATGCGCGGGAGTAGTCCAAACCTTTTGAGGGTACATCTAGGGAGAGAGAAAAACCCGAGTTAGCCAATCTGTCTCATCACCTGCTAGCAGTTAATGACAACTTACATCAAAGTTATACTCGATCTCAGGGAACAGGGCCATTTCTGTCGGGCCAAAACCGAAACTGAGGTTGCCGCTGCCATCAAAACCGGCTGTGAAACAAGTCAGCATGCGCCCCCAAGTGCCAAAGTAAAGTATACTCCGTTTCTCTTCATACCAGTAAGACCAGGCCAATCCTTGATTTTAGGGAACACCAAGTTGATAAGCTTATCAACAAACTCGATGGCTTGGTCACCGAATATGGTCACCTTGCAGCCAGAATTGTCACCATTTTGGGTCTTCCACTGGGCGACACCGGTTTTGATCCACGTCACCCTCGGGATGCGTCCGCTGATGGACTGAATTACCGCTCGGGCAACGTAAAGCTGATCATAATCCTTGATAGCCTTGGGTACGAAGCAGTTCATATGCACGGCGTGAATCTGAGGGATGTTGTTGAAGGTAATGTCCTTCTCGAGGAGAGGAAGATTCGACGATCCTCGGGGACCACGCAGCGGTCGGTTCTCGAAGTATGGCGAGTCACCAACCCACTTTCGTAGACGCTCTCGCTCGGGGGCCTTAGGAGTGCCGGGAGGCTTGTGGAGATAGGCGAGGGTAAGGAGGTCGGACGAGATGGTGTGGTCGTAGGTCTGCTTCAGACGGGGCAGGTTGAAAGGACCGGGCATGAAGTTTCGAGCGACGGGGTCGGATCGTGCGGGAGATTGTATGGGGTGGAGCGGACCACGATCGTACTTGGGCGGATGATATTGATACCTGGGTGCGGCGTGTTAGTCTCAGAGTTGCCAGGAACAACTCCAAAGAGGCCGCCGTGGAGCAGCTCCTCACCTATTTCCCGGCAGCCGACGTCCGGCACGGCTTTCCGAGTTAAAGGCCTGGATTATCTTTTCATCCGGCGGTGGAAGCGTCGTCGTGCTAGTTTCGAGCTCAGCCAGATTAGCATCAACCGAGGACGAGGCCGCAGATGTTGCGAATCTCCTGGCGTATTTCGACGCCAATGGCAATGTCGAACGGCAATTGGATATGTGGCGGGCCACCCGAGACCCTTCCCGTAGTGCCGACATTGTGATTCAAAATGAATGCGACTGGTGATGCTCCCACGTCTCGTCACTCGTCAAGCTTCTGGTGCTGGGACAAATTTTCGCGGGTCTCAACTGACACTTGAAAACGCGATGCGTTCAAGCCACATTTGTCACGTGATGTAGCCACAAATAAGCCGCTCTCGTTTAGATTACATTGAAAATGCCTTGTCTGCGGACTTGTACAAAGTACTTCGTACTCCGACTCCACACATCACGATGGACAAAATTCCGCTCCGGGCTTCAATTCACTCCGCTGGTCGCGTGGAAATCGAATGGGCCAATCTTCGTAGTCCGAAAAGATGGGGTGAGCGACCATCCCATCCCACCCTAGTTCATGCGCGCTTCCCAGAACAACGGCATCCAACGATCGTGCGGGGTGCCATCGGTGATGAGAAACAATTAATCTCTTCGGCCAACGTGATCGATGCATTTCCGAGTTAGTGATCTCTTACGAAGGAGGATGTCTGGCTCAGGCGCCCCCTTGGATCCTCGGTTCTGTTAACCGAGTCACATCGACAGACAAAGAGTCCCGTCATGTTGAGGGCACATTCATTCGGCAACTCATTTCAAGGCAAGGGCGTCACTTTACGTCAAGTGTGTAATAAGCGTGAGAGTACCAAGATTACCCTCACAGTTGGCTTTATTAGGCAGCTCTTTAGGACGCCCGGGAAAAACAACGAGTCCGAGACGTGGAATTTTCTCGTTCCGCAAACAGGATACGAATGGAAGGTCGTCGTCAGCGACTACCATTTTCATCTTCGGTATCACCGTTAGGCGGACAGGCGTGGGAGAAGTGAAGGGAAAAGGAAGGAATAGTAGATGCCTAGACGCTTGGAATTCTCTCGATGCATCCCGCTATTTACTCGATGCTTTGATCCGTCCAGGGATTGGCGCGGATTATCGATCTAGATAACGTCAAGAGGCATATAGTTTCGTGATATCCTTCCTAGATAGACCATGGAACAGGGCACTAGGTAATAGAAGCATCTTCTTGGGTGTCTTGGCTCGGGATCCCAGCTCCCAGATACCGCCAAAACGGCCCCCATGCCGCACTCGATGACTGGTCCAGTGGTTCGACTTAAGGCAAAGCTGAGGTTGAGCTGATTCCCGGCCACGACCGCATGGAGGCTGTTGGCCGGACCTCCACCACCCATTCCCGTCCAAGGGCCTTGTCTCTTACCTCATATATCCGTCTTGTCTTACCGAGCCGTTGGGGGACCTGATTGGAATCTGCCTAACACTGCAAAGTACAAGAAGAGCGCGCCAGCGCTTTCGGTGTGCGAAAGAGGCAGGGCTCAAGCCACATTCTGACACTGGAATCCCAGATCACCCGCCCGCATTCCAGAACGCAGGCGAGTATCAATAGAGTCGTGGCTATCATTCAGGGTCCTATACAAGGAGACTGCATGCCTGCCTGTGCAACTACACTACAACTGCCACTGCCCCGCCCCCGGCTTTTCCAGAGATCATTTACCAGCATTGAGACGGACCGACCAAGTGCTTGAGTTTCTAAAATTATCGGCAGGCGCGTCCCAGACTAAGAGAGCGGTGCGAGAAAGAAAGAGCGAACGGGGACCAGCCATTGACACCGCATTATTGATTCTCCCGCCTTTATTACTTGTTGGAGGGCGCTTCCACAGAACCCAGGAATGCATTCGGCGCCTCAATAGATCACCATCGCTCCTCAACTCTCTCGCCTCGAAATACAACAGCTGAAGGAATTCTTCACCCGCCTTCGATCCGCCTTCGATCGGCGCAACATCACTAAGAGTCTGACAGCGGGCCCCTGTCCATTCCCCCAACAATCTGCTCAAGGATCATCACCCCCCACTGAATTTGGGCAACAGCTCGAGCCCCTCCTTTGCGACAACCCCCTCCATCGAGACTCCATTCATCCACCCATCCATCCATCCGCCTGGATCCTTACCCAGGCGTCGATTTACCTGCATCAACAAGGCATCAACAAGGCTCTACATAGGACCCTTCTAATCGCAATCGCATTGCGCCACGTCAATCACCGATATACATATTGCGGTTCCCTTTTTTCGACAATTCGGGGCCATTGCTAGGCATCCAGATAGCTCCTTGCTACCTCTCGTTCAAAATACGGCTTCCAAGCCTGGATACCGATCAGCTCCCAACTTCAAACTACCCAGGATGCCGCCGAGGTTACCATACCGTTAAAGCCACAACACGAATGTCGACCTTTGTCCTGTTCGTCATTCCATTTCACTGTTATCAGCGACACATGTTACCATGCATCCTCGAAAACTCCTTAGTCTACGAGACAAGAACGGCCTCAGCTCGCGGCGGGAGAAGAACTTAGATGCCGGGCAGCCAGGGGCCACAAAGGTACGCTGTCATCACTCCCCCCTTGGTTCTTTCCCCCAAGCTAACCTTGAAGACGTAACGATAAACAGACCCGCCCCCGTTCGGCAGAGCTCTTCTTCTCTCTGTTCAAACCCGAGGCTGCGAGGCATGCGCCAAAGGATGAAACCCTCAAAGGAAAAGACCAGGAAGCTGCCAAGGTATCTTAGGACTGTTACATAGGATGCTTCTTCTTCGAGACGGCAAAGCTAACACCCAGACCAGATTGAGAAAGTTGCCGCCAAATTGGCCGAGCTGAATATCACGGGTGCAACACCAGAATATATTCGTGAAACCCTTGCTAGCAAGTTCGCTGCGGGCGACGTAGATAGGGCCGCCAAGTTTATTGATTTTCAACAAAAGGCCGCTGCTGGAAAGATTGTTCGATATGACCCCAACGTCACAATGCTCGGCGCCGTGAATCGCGGCAGCGTGACCTGCTACCTTGACTCGTTGTTCTTTGCCATGTTCGCGCGGTTTGATGCTTTTGAGCGTATGTTGAAAAGAATTGAGTTTGACAATGAGCCGCGCCAAAAGCTAGCCACACTTATGCGCCTCTGGGTCAACCTACTCAGGTCCGGCGAGCTCATTCAGACCGATACGGTAAGTCTTCCGAATCATTAACGTTTACGCCAACCTGGAGACGACCGTGATCAGCTAAACGAATCCAACTTAGACCGAACTAATCCAGAACACACTTGCCGAGTGCGGCTGGATAGATGCAAAGCTGCTCGAACAACAAGACACGTCGGAAGCCTTCAATTTCATCACCGAGACCCTCGAGCTGCCCCTATTATCTCTAAAAGTCGATCTTTTCCATCAAGGCAAGAGCGACGAAGATGACCATAAGATCATCTATGAGCGGCTGCTGAATCTGGCCGTCCCACCGGATCCCGATGGCAAGGGAATCAAACTAGAGGATTGCCTCGAAGACTATTTCAATGCTCAGGTCGATGTGTTCCGAGATAGCCTTGACGACAAAGCTGCCGCTATAGAAACACCAACTTCGCCCAAGGCCACTATTCGTCTTGTATCTGATGAAGATCGAGACATCCATGCGGCGGAAAACACACCCACGCCCCTTTCTCCTAGGAGGGCGACCATACCGCTCCCTATTACCGAAGAAAGCCAAGCATCTTCCTCATCAGCACCGCCACCGTCTAGGCCACGGGCTGCAACAGTGATTCAGCGGGTGGTTATTGGTGAGGATGGTCGCACCGCAACTGACCCTCACTTGTCGAGCCTACACCGGACAGCCACCAAAGGTTCCATTATCGTCAAGGCTGTAACGATCCCGGCCTGGCAATTTTTCCGCCTCATGCGTATGCATTTTCCTTGCTACCAGACCAAGTATATCAGGCTAACTCTGTTCGTAATACAGCATGGCATACGCCGAGTTCATCGAGCCACGTAAACCAACCCGAAAACATCGACGACCTCGAAAGGAATATCCGGCAGCGACCAGTCCTCGGCATATGTCTGAAGCGTTATATGATGACAGAAGATGGCCTGCCGAAACGACAAAACACCTACATCGATATCCCCGATGTCCTCCGACTACCTAACTTCATGCTTGACGACGACGAGCGAGTCGAGGAAGACCCGCACGGATTTAGCACCGGATACAAGCTTGTGCTGCAGTCGGTCGTCTGCCATCGCGGAGATTCCTTGCAGAGCGGACACTATATTGCGCTTGCTAGAGTCAACCCGAAGCTATTAACTGAAAACCGCAGATGTGATCCTGATCCGCCTCCGGACTACGAAGAAGATCAATGGGTCAAGTTTGACGATCTCTGCGTAGAGAGCCGAGTAAGCTACGTGGATGACATCAGACAGGCCCTCAAGGACGAGATGCCATACCTCCTATTCTACCAGATTGTCCCCACCGTCGAAGTATCAGCATCCACCTATAGCGGCGACGCCGAACCACCGTCCTACAAAGACCTAGGCACGAAAGCCGACGGGTCTAGCAGCCAAGGAGGCTCGCCCAGTAACTCGGTCAGCGCAACACCAGCCTCGTACTCCACAAACCAGCCCAGCATTCGTCTCTCGACAGAGCTGGACTTGACCCGATCCATAGGCGACGAAGGCTTCTACACCACCAGTTCCCACGACAACAGCCGCCGCCAGAGCGCCGTCTTCCTCGACCCGTTTTCCAACGACTCGCTACTAGCCGTGGGCACCACAGGCAGCCATTCTCCACCTCCTGGGCCCAGCGAGGAGTCGACAGCCACGAGACTCTCCAGAGCCGCCGCCCGCTTCTCGCGTAGCGCATCCAAATCGAGAACGCCCAGCCAGCAAGGCGACGGACGCATCAGCTCTACTATCCGCCAACTCGGCCTCCTGCGCTCGAGTAAAGAGCCGCTCCGAGACGGTAGCGCGAGCGGTGCGCAGTCAACAAGCGGACTCTCTCTCCCGGAAACGGGCGGTGCAGAAAGCACGGCGGTCGCCGGAGGTTCTGCGGTGTCCGTCTCTAACAGCAATCCCCCCAAGCAGAAGAAGAGTAAGACGAAGACGGCGGAGAAGAAGGCGAAGGGAGAGGAATCCGAGCGGGAATGCACCGTCATGTAGAAGCGATGGCCGTCCCCCAGAAGAAATCGTCCCTAGACTTCTCTCCCTTCCTCTGATTTTGGAGGATGGGGATTGCAGAAGAAGAAAAAAGAAGAAGAAACAAACAGAGGGGAGCTTGTATGATAAAGGTGCCCATTCATTTAGCTCGCCTTTTTGTCTGGAGGTATTTTTGCTTCTTGTTTTTTTTTTTTTTTTTTCTTTTTCTTTTGCATTTTTCTTAACAGTTATGCATTTTGCATTTGCATTTTCAACCTGCATCTGAAGCCGGCAAGGGAAAAAGAAAAAGAAATGGTTTGGGCAAAGAGAAAGATGTGTATTTGAGCTGAAGGGAAGGAGGAAGCTAAGAAGGGTGGCATAAACATTATTTCATGGACAACGGACGTTTCTCACGATACCCTCGGGCGGTGGCTAGATCAATGGCTAGCTAGCTATTCACGTAGATGATGAAATAAACAATAATGACTTGAAATTTTATTTTATTTTTCATTTATTGGAATCGAAGTGGGAGAAATGTCATTAAGAACAATCTCCCACAAAAACTACACTCTCCTCGGTCTCGCATATTTTCGACTACCCTTCCATGCATGCAAAAAAAAAAAAAAAGCAAACCTAGACTTGACTCCCGTAGCATAAGTGATTCCAATGCGCCCATCTATGAAACATAGTCCTTCGCTGGAAGGATAAAAGGGAAAGTCATGGTTCCCCTGTGCTCCTCTATAATAGGGACAGCGGCTCCATCACCCAACATCATACATGGTCTCCCCTAGTCATCGTCGTGAATCTTATCCGCCACTGTCTCCATCAGTTTGAAAGGGGGCTTTTCCGAAGGTGGAGTCTGAAGAGGCTTATTCTTCTCAAACTTATGCTTGTCAAACGAAAACTTCTCCAAAATCTTGTCGGCCGGTTCAGCGGGAGACGAAAGTCCCGGAATTGGGCTCATCTGTCCGCTTCCGACACCCGGGGGAACGGGGATGCGGATATCCTGTGGAGAACCAGGGACAATTCTGGGATCGATACCCGGGATATGAATACGGTTCGACTCGTTTTGGTAGGCTGCGGGGATGATTTCGATAATCTCGTCGCGAGGGAATTTGAGGAACGGAATGTCCATCGTAGAGCAATGCATCAAGTAGGCATAAAGAACTCTTAGAACTGACTCATGAGCGATGATCAAGAGGTCATTCTGCTCACGTTCAAGCTCTAGAATAATTGGTTCTAGCCGCACAGCAAGGTCATGGTAGGACTAATAGCAAAAGTCATGTCAGTGCTTGCTCTTTAGACATATGGGGACAGGGCACTTTAGCCAGGCCAATAGTGGACATGAATGCACAACGTACCTCAGCCCTGGGGTACCGATGATGGTACGGATCCCTTTCATGCTTTTCAATTTCGTCGGGGTATCGTCGACGAATCGTTCGTTCGGTAAGACGCTCGCACACTCCCGGATTGATCTGACTCATCTGCGATCGCTGCCGTACCTTGTAGCCCTTGCCCTTGAGGTACTCGGCCGTCTGGATTGTTCTCAGCCTTGTCGATGTCCAAACGGTCAGCGGCTTGAGCGGAATATCGGCTCCGCCCTCATCAATGACCTTCTTGCGCTTTTCTTCTCTGTGCTTCAGAAGGGTCTCAGACATGCGTCTCGCATAAGCGAACCCTTCTTCCGATAGAGGCGCGTCGGCTTTGTACGAGTCCTCTTCAGTGGTCACACCGGCTCGGACGAAGTATGTCGCCCGGGACTTGATGTGCAAGTTGGTGAGGTAAAAGACGATGCGGTGAGAAAGATAGTTGAAGCTGACGTTGTTGTAAAAGAACTTTTGGCCGGCGTTTATCATCTTAATGAAATTGAGCTCGGTCTCGTTCATAGTCTCGAAAACGGGGATTTTTGCCTCGATTCTCTTCAGATAGAGCCGGGCTGCCTCATCGGGGTTCATGCCCTCGAACTGCGTCGTCCCATATTAATTTATCTAGATACAACATGATGCGCTGTTCGAGTTGGTGCGAACTTACATCTGGCGATGATATTTTGACATTTCGGGCATTCTCATTCAATATACGCTCGTCATCTACGAAAGATTCGATGAAAAGCGTCTGGGGTTCATGTTAGTCAGGCAACAAACTGTATGGCGGGCGTCAGTTGTCGAACACTCTACGTACCTGAACGTCATGCCTAGAAAACTCCTTGGCGAGAGACCGCCTTCCAGCGGCAGTTGGGTTCACGGCATCATAGATGGCGACTTGGCCGTTTTCGTGGTTGAGCCAGGCGTAAATGTCTTCACGGCACTTTTTCAGGATCTTTTGGCGGAGGATGACAGATGCAGGCGACGCATTTGGGAAGAAATAGTCTTCGGGCACGGCGCCGTGATTACCCACAGTTGCCCTCCGGTAATCGCCGAGGTGGAATATGCGGGTCTTAACACCGAGCCTTCAATGGATAGGTGAGTGAAATGTTACGCATCGCCGTGAGACTTAAGAGAAGGCTAGAGAGGCAGAGAATACTAGAAAGCTAATTATCCAAACTTACCATTGGAGGTATCTCGATAGCGAGACACAGATGTGGCTAGAATAGCACGGAAACAGTTAGTCGTGCTTGTTTGCTTGTCCGTAACAACAGGCCATGGTGGGGTGGACGGATTTCCGAGGAAACTGAGCAAAGTTCCTACAGTCACGAATCACATTCATAGGATGCGACGTGACTGCCATTTGCAACAGGCAAAATTTCTAGTGTCAGTCCAACTTACGTTTTTCCACGAGCCGGAAGGCCGACCATCACAATTGCAATGCGGCCAGAGTGGAAAAGACGGCCGGACATAGTGCTGTAAAGCTGGGCCGGGGCCCTGTCCTGCTCCTCAGGAGTGTCATGGATGGCATCTATGAAAGTTGAGCTCTTCCGGCGGTAGCGGGGGGCGTTGGCTGCGATTTGGGCAGTCCTGTCATCGTCAGTTTCGAGCAACGAGAGAGCATGGTCATAATCATGGACAACACCAAGCTCTGGCCTAGGAGACACAAGAGGCGAGAGAGAAGCAGTGACACTTGTGTTGGACGTTGTATCGGAAGTGGAATTGCCATTGGAATTGGAACTGCTGGTACGGGTACGGGTGCCGTTGTCGTTGTCGGCAGTATCGTCATCATCGACAACAGCTGACTCCATATCCAGAGGTGGAGGTCCAAGGCTAGCCCTCAGACGACTCTGTAGACTCTCACGCCTATCCTCGGCAGTGGGTGCGGAAGGGTACATGGTTGGGTGGGTTGCGGGTGAGAATTGGGGGTGGTTTGGGGGTGGTTCCTCAGCCTTGAAAGAATAGGTGGGGAGTTTAATTGGAGCTGAGTTGGTGCCGGAACTAGAATTGGAACGGCTGGAACTGGGGAATTGAAAGTATGAAGGGATGTTGGAGAAGTGTATAATAATGCAAAGGAATAAGGTTGGAATGGGGAAATGGCTTCAACCGAATGCAAGACCCTATTGGCCGAGGATGTCAAGGGAATAAAAGAAGGAAGACTGAGGGAAGGGGAAGAAAGTAAAAGAAAAGAAGACCAAGAGGCTTCGGACTCGAATGTGAAAAGAACTTACAATAATGTGTCCATGTTATCGACCGATGGGAACCAGTAACTAGTTCAGCTAGGATTAATGGGCGAAACGGATAATGGGGACGGTATGGCACGGCACGCAAGGTGAGTGGGTTCGGTGTTGTGTTTCGATGTTGGTGAGTGGTTGGCTCGGTCGAAGCGGTTTCGTTTCGGTTAAGGGTTCTGGACCTCTTGGATTTGGAATCTCGGCAGGGCGGTCCTTAAAGAGGAAGCTTTGTACTAGAACGTATGAAGTAGAATTTGGCCTAGTCAATATCGCAGTGTAGTTATGAGTCGGGAGTCTGCGAGGTCAGCACCCAGCCAGGTTTGGGGCAATTCGGGTGAGCGGGGACGACGTGTGTGTGTTGTGTGAGTGCGGGTGGTATGCGTGGTCCTTCGTTTGCGTGTATGTGACTGTGTACGTGGATGTGCCTAGATGCGTGTGTGTGTGTGCGGCGGTTCGCTTCCTTGTGGTCAATCAGGTCGGGCAGGATAGGAACAGACGAGCCGCATCAATGGCTTCGCTCCGAGTTGGATCTTGGCTTGATGGAATGCTTGGAGTGGGGTAAGGGTAATTCTTCTAAAAAAAATTCGCTGTCCCTGGTGACCAGTGGTCAACGTGTTTTGGTCCCGGAGCTGACTGGGGAATCAATTAATACCGGGTCCGTTCGGGAATCCAGCTGTTGAACTGTTCAGGCGAGAACCAGGGCGGCGGTAGTTCCGAGCGCTGGGATGAGTTCATTCGAATTGATCGATCTGTGGTTGGCGTGGCGGCTAGTTGCAATCGCAATTGAAACCTGTGGGTTTGTCGGGTGAAAAGGCTTTGATGACTCTTAATTGTTGGATCAATCGATAATCGGTGAAGCCGCCCCGATGACTCCAAGCATCACTCAACTACAAGTGGAACTCCAAGCTGAGTCCAACGTTGCGATCTTGATCCCGGGCTCGCTTTGCTGGCGAACTGACGGTGGATGCCTGGCTGTAATTGCCTGCCCGGCAGTGGCGACACAGAAACACCTGACGGCTTGAAGCTGACTGACACGGAACCAGTAATACTTCGTACCTACTCGCTCCCTCAGGCCTTAACCCAGTTCAATGTTCTGGTAGTGGTAGTGACACAACTCTGTCGGAACTCTCAAACGGGATCAATATCAACGGTTTGTCACTTTGTAGACTTGTACCGTTTCTTGGTCTGGTCAAAGGACACGAAGGAGTCAGCCACCCTGAAGCAAGTACGAAGAAGGCACCGTCGGTTAGCGCCAAGCCAAGCTGTACTGAGTACAGATGTACTTCAGAGATGCACCAACACTTTACAACAGTGAGTCGAAAAGAGGAAGTCACAGCCGGTTGGCCCTCGTTTGCTCGCACAAACTTGAATCTGCAAAAGACTTTGGACCTGCGTCTTGCGCTGGAACTGGAACTGGAACAATCGCAGGAGGGAACAGGTGAAATATGATTGCACAGAGGCGAGAAAAGAATTCTGCTTGGCGTTGCGGTCAACGTGACCATGGAAGGGGGGCCGCTTTAAGATATATGGACCGGAATCTCGGGCTGGGTCGGAAGCGCTGCGGTTGAAGGCGTCAATGGTAAGGGCCAGTCGCAAAAGACGTGGATCATGGGGCGTGAGCCTCGAGATGGAAAAAGCAAGTTATGTAAGTGGGAGAGTCAGCTCTCTCTAGCTAGATTCTATCGTGACTTGACGAAATATCAATGTGTGGCGGGCTGTGTGGGAGGGGTTTGGGTGATGTAAGTCTGAGATAGGTCAAGATGACCACAAGCATCCGGGATCGCTTGCTGAGTCGATTGTACTTTCAGGTACCGCCCTTGTAACATGGGAGCGGCGGGGAGAGCCTGCTACATTAGCAGATCTCCTAGGTTAGATGATTTAGCATATGGACCTCGATTGAGCAATCGGCTTGAATGGCATGTGGTCGAGATTAAACCAGGGATCCAGCACTTTGGTACCTCTCGTGCGTGAGGCTTCCGACAGGGTTCTCACCTGCACACCGCACCGCGGCGCACGCAACGCAGAGTGTTGGGATGACAGGGTGGCAATGAAACGAAACACCAACAGGAGTAATCCTTCGTAGTAGCCCCAACCAGCAAGAAATTAGAATGTTAACGTCGGAGGAGGTATCCTCCATATATAATAGATTCGACATCGACGGACTTAGACTATCAAGAATAGAGTAGATAAGAACTGCCTGCGGAAAACCAAGACACCATTTCGACATCTCGTCGATAACGACGATGGATTGATAAGAGCCTCTTCAACAATGTGGGCAAAATTCTTCAGTTCAAGGGTACCGAGGTATTTATTGTACTTCGTCTGTCTAAATTATATAAATAGAAGCACTCTGCATGGTTGGGACAGCAGCGCAAATGAATTTCAAGCTCCTTGCCATGTTCAAGCTGCTATCACCAATTTATTGGTCCATATAACCAGCCAGACCTTAAGAGTGCCCTTTAGCTACACCCTCCAATGCTACTTCACACATGGTGAGGCTCAATTCTCGAGAGAAATATGGATTCGATGTCACTATTAATTTATTCGGAAAGGAAGGACTACTCCGAGTCGTCATGGTCACATAATACCTCCCGAACTGAACTTGGACAAAAGCGACAGTCGGTAATTCCCTGGTAAATTCATCGCTAACAATGAAAGTTATTTGGTCGCACCCTCTAAACAATTTGGACGGACCCAATGAGCATGACGTATTACTTAAGCCACATTTGGGAAAATCTTGAAGTGGGACTGTGGCTGGTTCTCTTTTCTGGGCAGAACCTGTGGAGTCCGAGGTGAGGCAAAGGCTTTTTTTTGACAGGCTGAGGAAATAATTTTCCCAGGTTCAAATTTCTCTGCTTGAAAGACCACGCCGTCACCCAGTCTGCAAGCTAATCTGCCTCCACCACGAAGCATTGGAGAGGCAGCAGTCACAGCAGGTGATTGTGTTTTCCATCCACAAGTTATTTGGCTAGTGGATATTGTACAATCAACTCTTTCCAGCCTGTAGCTGGTCTCCTTCCACCCTCACCTCTGCAACTCACCCCTTTGCACTCCCTGTCGCAACCTTGCATCTTTCCATCAACTCGCAATTGATCTTGCAGCTCTTTCCCCTTCCCCCTGTCATAGCAGTTTCTCACCATGGCGTCTACGTTAAATTCTTTGAGGGATACCCTCTTTTCGAACCCCGTGGCGGCTACCGTTGCCGATGCGTTGAACTCCTTCTCCGAGCGACGAGCTAAACTCGGCCTCTCGAACCCGGGTACTGTCGAGAACCTGGCCAAGGAAGTCCAGCGCGATGTTCTCCTTCAGGGATACATGTTCACCGGCATCAAGGCCGACCTGACCAAGATGTTCAGCGTCTCGCCGCTTTTCCAGGTCTCCCACCAGTTCGCTATGAGCGAGCGTCTCAGCCCCTACAATTTCGCGGCCCTTTACGGCACCAACAATGTGAGTGAAACGGTTTCTTCACCGGAAAACTACAAGCATTGGCTAACGGAAACCTCGCCCGTCACTCCAGGTCTTCCTCCAAGCTCAAGTGGATAACGAGGGACAATTGTCGAGCCGATTCAACTGGCGATGGCACGACAAGTTTGTGAGCAAGACCCAGCTCCAACTCTCCAACGACGGGTCGAACATGGCTCAGATCGAGAATGAGTATACCGGCGATGACTTCACCGCCTCGCTTAAGATGCTGAACCCTTCGTACCTTAACGGCGGTCTGACCGGCATCTTCGTTGGAAGCTATCTTCAGTCCGTAACCTCCAAGCTGGGCCTCGGCTTCGAGACCGTCTGGCAGCGCGGTGTCCTCACCCAGCCCCCCGAGACAGCCGTCTCGCTCTGTGCGCGCTACAAGTCGGATGATTGGGTTGCCACTGCTCAGCTTCAGACCCAGGGTGCTCTTTCGGCCACCTACTGGCGTCGTATCTCCGAGAAGGTCCAGGCCGGTGTTGACATGTCTCTTGCCCTTGTCCCCAGCCAGGCTGGTCCTCTAGGAGGCGGAATCTCCAAGGAGGGAACCACCACTGTCGGTGTCAAGTATGACTTCAGGATGTCCACCTTCCGTGCTCAGTTCGACTCCAAGGGCAAGATTGGTCTGCTCGTTGAGAAGCGAGTTGCACCTCCCGTCATGATGACATTCGCTGCCGAGGTTGATCACTTCGCGGTAAGTTCTTCCATATAAGAAGACGCTTTGTGAATCCCGCCTTTGATACATTGGCTAACTCTTCTGTCTCTGTTGTAGCAACAAGCCAAGGTTGGCGTCGGCGTATCGGTCGAGGGTGGAAGTGATGAGCTCGAGCAGCAGCACGAGATGATGGGTCAAGCACCCCCGTCTCTCAACATCCCCTTCTAGATGATAAGATGTATTTCTCCCACCTGGTGCCGAGGTATTTTCTTCTGATCGCTTGAGCGACATCAGAAGTCCAGTACTCCTCGACAACACATCCAATCCTCCACCAATGAACCGAACGCTTCGAAGTATCCCAGCAGAGCTCAGAAGAAGGCAGGCACACGAAACAATACGACCTAATCTCACCCCCAACAATAACGGCCGGAAACTAGGAGACACCCTCGAAATCGATGAGAAATCGTTGTACCAGCACATGTGTCTTTTTTGTTTCTCTTTTTTTTTCCCTTCTCCAGCACCTCGGGTGCCATGTCTTTTTTAGCAGTTTTTTCTTGTCTTTGCCATCACCAGGCTATAATCATGTGGTCTCGGGTGTTTGGTTTCGGGTTTTTTCCGTCGAGATTTTTTCGCATAAAGCATTGCACGAACGATAGATTTCCTTGTCCTCCCTGCGGATTCATCGGCCTTTCCGCCCACCTTTCTGCTGTCTCCTACCTTAACCCCTTAAACACACCCCACTTTTAAAGAGTTGTTAATGGTCTTCGGATGTCTTGTCATGTCTTCTGGTTGGATTCTCCAAGTTCGGATTCTCTTCAGATATAGAGGGAACTGTATGGTGGAGGATTGTGTACATTATTAGCCGCAATGGAAACTGCAAACTGCACTCTCATGGCTCTCTTCTCGTGTTTGTTGATTCTTTCGTTATGAGTATCTATTAACCTATTCCCAACGCCCTTCCTCTACATCATTTCTCTGGCTATTAAACCCACTTACACTCGCATCCTGATTCTCAAACAGCAACCGTCGATGATCAACGGACCTACCTAACGGCCCTGCTCTGTTTGCAGTAGAGGCTACGTCCTTTTCAACCTAGAAAAGTGAAGGATATACCGTCGAAACGGCCTTCACCCTGAACCCACCTGCGGAGGAACGTCCCTATCTAGCGGCTCTTCGACTCAAGGCTCAAGCCGGTTAGTTCTCTCTCTCTCGGGACATAGGCACATCTAGCGGTCCACTTGCCAGACAGTTCGCCACGGTGTTGTCGTCCTAGGGGACTCCGCTGTTTGAGCACGGCTCTTTGCAAGGCCCGTGATATGAACTGAACAATAGTTGGGCAGTGTGGGGACTGAAATGTATTCTGGATTGCCACGCCGAGAACATATGCTCCGGATAATTTAGGCTTCCCCTCCTTTTTCTTTCTTTCTTTTTTTTTTCTTTTTTTTTTTTTTTTTTTTTTTTTTTTTTTCCCTCGGTAATCATGTTGAAGTGTGCTACGAAGTTTAAGGAACGGTATTGACGTCGAGTTCCGGCGAGAGTGGTCATCCAGAGTGGGAAGAAGGAGGAAGTTGATGAAGAAGGTTTTGAGTGGATCAGGAAGGAATCATAACTCTCTCAGAATCTCGGGGACCATCAGATCGAACACCCCCTCCTCCTTCTCTCAGAGCCAGAGCCCATTCGATCTTTCTTTTTTCCTTCTACGGCCGCTTTTTTGTGGGTTCTATCTCCGACTTGCGGGCAGTTCCAAGACAACAAGCCCGTGGAGGGGCTGCCCTTACGGCCTCGCGACGGCCAACCGGCATTTGTCCGCTCAGCTCAAATGTTTAGCCTTCTCTCCGGCCTCCTTTCTTTGATATCAGGATTGTCGTTAGTCGACTCTTGCATTCGAGTGGGGTCATCTCCATGGACCCATGTGGCCCAACCCCTCATCCCCTCGAGAGATGAGCGTTCTTGATAATGGAAGACCAGGTTGGAAGCTATGAAGCAATTTACATCTATACAAGACCGGGATATCGTCATATGCGGTGGCTATTAGCTCAGGGCCTTTTGATCTTGCAAGATTTATCTTAACTCTACCTCTAGATGGTTCTCCCGCAGTCTCCCTTTTCGAGGTGCTCTTGTATAGCGCAAGCGCCTAGCACTCGGCAGCGAGGGTCTCGGTTCACATCCATCACCATAGTCCCCTCGTTAATTGAGCGGTATATGGGCTTGGACATATGGAGGCAGGCACGACTCGTTAAGCATGAGCGCATATCGTACTCTTTGCCTTTTATGAGACGCCTTCGGATAAGTCAACCACACGCCGCCCCCCCGGTCAAAATATATGGCCAAGGAACGTACGCGTACAGCAGGGCTTTCAACCGGCTGTCCGTTTCCTGGTCTTGGACGAGGATCGACAGTCTCTCTAACGTTCTGAAATGACCTGGAGTTGGATGAGCTACCCACCTCTACGATGATCCAGACCACGGTCTCGAATCATGGCGTGTCCGATGGAGTTCTCTAATATCAACCTTTTCCTGACCACCACCATTGGGCGCTTCCTCATACCTGACGATGTAGTCGTCATTGCCATCAGCATGCGACATAATTGCCTGTGAAGGGGCCAGGCTAGGATCAGTCAATATAACGCCATCGCCCGAAGTCAAGACGCTATATTCTTCTTTGCCAACCGACTCTACCTCGTCGGATCTTGCCTTCCTTTTGGGGGGGCACCTCACCGGCTCCTCTGTGTGCTTCTGGGTGTTGGACGTCGTGTAATATCACGGTTGCGTGTCTCCGCCTTATTTCTCTATATGACCGAGGGCAAGCGAAATGAGGGGGCCAGATGAGCCGTATAGAGGATGACGTGAAGATCCCTGGTTTTCAACCGCCAGGGTCCGGTGTGCGTTGTCAATCGTCACCCTCTCACAAAGCCTTGCGCCATTCCGAACACTCTTCGACTTCGAGTGTTTCCTCCTTAGCCCATGCCACATGCCCGTTAAAGGAGGGGTCGCAATATTTGTTAATTTATCGAGAAAGACGTGCCTGAGAGGGGAAGACTCATGAGTGCAGCATCGCCAGTGGCGTGTGTTCATCCCGCCCTGCAAACGTCAACGGTCGATGGTCGATGTTTGGGTAGCTCCATGTTCGATGCAATTACTGCATGCCAACCTCACAACATCTCATTAGCGATATTTCTCTAATTTGAGGTTTTCGCGAGAGTGCTCCCATGTCGGCATTTCTTGTTTGAGGAAAGAGATAAACGATTCGACTTGTCCCTTCCCTCACATGGCGGATTTGCTCAGACAATCCCCAGCTCAACGCTGAGTCCTACACCGATGTAGGCCATACTTGTCTATGTGGCGATGGTTGCTCGTCGATGCGGGTGAATCGAGTGACATATCGTCCAAAGAGGCCGCCGGGCTAGCTCCAGATACATTTTAACCGCCGTAGTCCACTTTATACTCACGTCGGTCACCTACACGTGTCGACACACGCGTACACTCTATAGACCGGCGTGAAAGCTCTCTCTTTCTGTATGACAGGGCTACATGCGAACGACTTACACGGCCAGCAGGCTCCATGAAGCTCTCGCCACTTCTCTCGTGACGGTTGTTTGAGGAGGTTGTCGTCAGCCCGGCATTGGGTGCCGTTTTCAACGGACCCTCCCTCCTGCCTGTTCGGAGTCCCGATGTGACGCTACCCTGAAGATCCGGAGGATGGGGAGACATCAATTGATGCTCCCGTCCCTTGCGTCCACCGTCCAACGAGTCGATTCGTCACCTAGACCAGGCGCCAAGATTTCAGGTGCAGATAGTTTCCCGTTCGTATTGGTCGACCTCTAGAGCCTTCTCTAACTCCCACATTCTCCATTCCCAGCATGGGCATTTATTTCATCCGAAAATTTGGATAGGCACGTAATGTTTCTCGATCGACGGGGCTAAAAGCTCTTGCATTCATCCGGACCAGCCAAAGACCACGATGCGCTGGTCAGCAAACCAGCATCTATTTTGCCAAGAGCCCATTTCTCCGTCCGCCCTCAAGCTCAATTAAAGGTTCTCCCTTTCGAGATTTGTTCCAGCACATCCGCCGCTCCGTCTCTTTTCGCTGGTCTTTCTGGCAGGCCCAAGAGCAGCCAGCCGTATTCCCAATCCAGCACATTATCCAATCATCCTGCTAACCGTGGTAGCAGCCGATAATACTTCCCACTTGCGTGCCAATGAGTCTGCACTTTGGTTTATAGTGCAAGATGGTGTCAATTGCCTGACCTCGAGTTTTCCCCTCGTACGCAGCCCACACTTTAGCTTCATACACCACTTTTTCATCTGCCGCGCCATGTGGAAGAGGGCCGACATTGGTTCTTGGCCTCATCAGCTCTCAGCCCGTCCGTGTCAGCAGCATTTAACATGTATTGATTCTTTGCCACTTTGGTAGGTCTGCGCATGACTTGGATGGTCTAGACGGTGCTAGATGGCCTTTGCCTCCATCTCCTCCCCTGCGGGTCAAGTTTGATCCGGCTGCTGTCTCTCATCAGCGCCGCGGCTTGTCCGATTTACCACCTTGAAAAGCCGGGTTGGATGAATCTCGCCCTAAACTAGAAAGGTGGGATCCTTTGTGAGGAATACCCGAGATATTCCATCCGATATCCGGCATACTCTAATAACGGGATATTTGCGATGGCAAACTTGTTACCTCATGCGAGCCAATACCCTAGCCCAGGAGGACGTGCACTTGCCTCGTTCTCGGGTCAACTACAACCCTCGAGCTGTCCTCACACACACCCACATGACTCTAAATGCCTACCTAGAGCCGGTGAGCCGCTCATTTGCTTCTACGTCCCCGAATTGCCCATCGCATCGTCAGGAACCCGGATGAAGCTGGACGCTTGCCTTTCTGGCCTTTCCTCTCGCCCAATGGAAGACCATTTGCGTGTCTCCTCTCCGCTCTTGCGTGATGATCTCCCGCCAGAGAACGCCATCCTCGTCACAATTGCTTAAGAGGTACAGTATTGTACCGAGATGGCCACACCTGCAACCCACCTCTTGGGTCTTGTTCCTGGCCGGCGTCACTTTTCTCCACCCACTTTATTCACCTCGACTCACACGTACCTTTATGGCCCTTGCAGGCTGTGGCGTGAGGTGCCGCTCTTTCCATTCCCTTCCCCACACTGAACTTCATCCCGCTCCTGGGCGTAATCAGCCGCTCATGTCCGATTGGCCGTCTCTAGCTCAATGTGCTTGCAAGCCTGCAGACTATAGAGCTTCTTTCGACATGGCCTTTCAGTATTTCTCCATCCGGGGGCCAAGAGCCCCTGGCATGTGGAAGGCGTGTGGTCCATGATGGGATCTCCATCAGCCTGCTCCCGGAGAAGCGAATGGGTAATTGAGTTGGCGAATAACTTTTTAGTTGTCTTCAACCAAGAACGTGCCTGACCTCGACCAAATTTCATTTCCTAACCTCAATATCACACCCCTCTTCCCGCCCTTTATGCCGTACCGGTCTATGACCCCACGGACAGATGCGAGCTTCACCCGGATGAGGTCTTCACCTGGCGCCTCGATCCCCCCATCATCATCATATACCTCCTCACGAAGGACACGCACCCCGGGCCCGCGTAGGAAAGGCGTCATAACTCGGCACTATTCCCGCATTTCACTTACTGTCAACTCCTTGGCAAGGCGAACTCGCCACAACCCTGCCATTGCTCTCTTTGGAGCCGTCAACTCCCATCTTCTTCGACCTGTCCTCACTCCCCCTCCCTTTTCTTCCATATTGACCCTATATTGAACCTCCTCACGGCGACGTAAGCCCAGTTTTCCCGACAACGAGGTGCCTTTTCTGTTCTAGAAAGCAAACGAAACTTAACGGACCGCAATTATCGCCAATATGGACTCTTCCCGGAATCCCATCACCGGGCGATGGCTATATAAGAACGAGGGACGAAACGCCTCCCCCATGGCCTCTGAAGCTCGCTTGGCTCTTTCTATCCCCCCTTCTTCTTTCTCTCTTCAGCCACCGCCAGCGGGGAAATCTTGTGGGTAAGCGACAAAACAGAGTCATAGATTGGCCGTATATTCTTCACTCTTTTGAGAAAAGAACCACCCTCCTTTATCACCATGGCATCCAAGCTTTTGGTCGCCGCTCTCCTCCTCGCTCCCAACGTATTGGGACGAGCTATCCCGGAGGCTGCCCAGAATGAGATTGCCAACATCCGTGAGCGAGAGCTCACTTTCGTATGTCCGAGCCGGTTTCGTGGTTGGAGGCCGTGCCTCAACCGTGAGGGAAACCAGAAACGCGGAACATGACACTGACATTGTTTAGGCCGATGCTGCCAACCTCCAAGCCCGCGAGGCCATTGATGTGCTTGTGACCCGCGCCGAGATCACTGGCGAGGTGAGTGCCTCTCAACGTCTCTAACCCCAACCCCATCAGAATAAATCAAGTGCTGATGGGTGTGTCGAAATTGTAGAAGGGCCACAAGGAAAAGAAGGGCTCGAAGCCCAAGGGCAAGAAGAGCAAGAGCAAGCACCATGGCGAGCCCGAGGACAAGTTCATCATTGGCAAGCCCAGGGCGCGCAAGCCGCACCCCCGTGGTCTCCAGCGTCGCCAGGATGACGAGGTGAGTTTTATCTCGAAAGAAGAAACTGATCACTCGGCTTGCCCTGCTATTCGAGGGGGGAAAGGAGCGCGAGCACTAACACTTGGCAAATAGGAGCGCCCCGGCCGCGATCCTCCCGTGGATGATGAGGAGGAGGACGAGAGGCCCACTCCCGAGCCCGTAAAGGAGGCTCCTAAGAAGGAGACTCCCAAGAAGGGTGATGACGAGGAGGAGGAGGCACCTAAGAAGGAAGCTCCCAAGAAGGAAGCCCCTAAGAAGGGTGACGACGATGAGGAGGAGGAAGCCCCCAAGAAGGAAGCGCCTAAGAAGGAAACCCCCAAGAAGGACGACGGCGAGGACGACGAAGAGGAGGCTCCCAAGAAGGAGGCTCCCAAGAAGGAGGCTCCCAAGAAGGAGGCCCCTAAGAAGGGAGATGATGAGGAGGAGGCCCCCAAGAAGGAGGCTCCTAAGAAGGAAGCTCCTAAGAAGGGTGACGACGAGGAGGAGGCACCTAAGAAAGAAGCTCCCAAGAAGGAAGCCCCGAAGAAGGGCGATGATGACGAAGAAGAAGCGCCCAAGAAGGAGGCCCCCAAGAAGGAGACCCCCAAGAAGGAAACCCCCAAGAAGGATGATGGTGACGATGACGAGGAGGAAGCCCCCAAGAAGGAAGCGCCTAAGAAGGAAACCCCCAAGAAGGGTGACGACGAGGAGGAGGAGGCCCCCAAGAAGTCCCCCCCGAAGAAGGAAACACCCAAGAAGGATGATGATGATGATGAGGAGGAAGCCCCTAAGAAGGAGGCCCCCAAGAAGGAGACCCCTAAGAAGGGTGATGATGACGACGAGGAGGAGGCTCCTAAGAAGGGAAAGTCTACGCCCAAGAAGGATGCCGACGATGAGGAGGAGGCCCCCAAGAAGGAAGCTCCTAAGAAGGAAGCCCCTAAGAAGGACGATGACGACGATGAGGAGGAGGCCCCCAAGAAGGAAGCTCCTAAGAAGGAGACCCCCAAGAAGGGCGACGATGACGAGGAGGAAGCTCCTAAGAAGGAAACCCCTAAGAAGGAGGCCCCCAAGAAGGGTGATGACGACGATGAGGAGGAGGCCCCCAAGAAGGAGACCCCCAAGAAGGAGACCCCCAAGAAGGGCGACGATGACGAGGAGGAAGCCCCTAAGAAGGAGGCCCCCAAGAAGGAAACCCCTAAGAAGGATGATGGTGACGACGACGAGGAGGAGGAAGCCCCCAAGAAGTCCCCCCCTAAGAAGGAAACTCCTAAGAAGGATGACGGCGAGGACGACGAAGAGGAGGCCCCCAAGAAGGAGACCCCTAAGAAGGAGACCCCCAAGAAGGAAACCCCCAAGAAGGATGATGACGACGATGAGGAGGAAGCCCCCAAGAAGGAGACCCCCAAGAAGGAAGCCCCTAAGAAGGGTGACGACGATGAGGAGGAGGAAGCCCCCAAGAAGGAAGCGCCTAAGAAGGAAACCCCCAAGAAGGACGACGGCGAGGACGACGAAGAGGAGGCTCCCAAGAAGGAAACCCCCAAGAAGGAGACCCCCAAGAAGGAAACCCCCAAGAAGGATGATGGTGACGATGACGAGGAGGAGGAGGCTCCTAAGAAGGCCCCGCCCAAGAAGGAAACCCCCAAGAAGGATGATGGTGATGATGACGAGGAGGAGGAGGAGGCTCCTAAGAAGGCCCCGCCCAAGAAGGAAGCTCCCAAGAAGGACGACGGGGACGACGACGATGATGATGATGAGGATGACGACTAAGCGACTCTCGCACATCACTCCAGCGCAAGAAGCCTCCAGGTTTGCTCCCAGCCATCGACTCCTTCAAGGGCCAGACCTTGGTTGCTGCCTTCGTGACCGTGGCCGGAGACAGAGCGGCCCGACGACTTCTTCCCTTCTCTACCTCATATTTTATTATTCCTTTTCCTTTTCCTTTCCTTCTATATTTTTTCCCCCTGACTTTATTTTTCCCAAGATGCCGCATTGCCGCCCTGTCTCTTATTTCTATCATGGCCTCGCCTGCTTATTGGGGTGAGGCCGAGCCCCCCTTTTGATCACTTCGCTTCTCTGATTCTCTCCATATTCTTTCACTTCTTCTTCTCATGTATACAAGATTCACTTTTTAGAAGCGAAGACAAAAAAGTGTATCTAGTGTCATGAATGTGTATGTTTATGATAAATGCAGTGAGAAAGTCAATTGGAATGATGTTCATGTTGCAAGAAGACGAGCGGTTTGCGTGTCTCGCGTTTCAAACTGGTGGAAGTATTTCATGCTTCGTAGATTCGAGCTCACTCTTTGATTCAAAATCTGTTGATTATTAAGACTTGATGATGGCTCTTATACTGTATTCATACCGTATAGATACAGCTTAATCTTGCTTGGATACTCCGTGCGAGATATCAACGACACCTCAATCTCGACAACCCACTTCACAACTGCCGAATTCTCGTCACCAGCTTCTCTCTCACTTCAGCCCGCATTTTCGACACTGCATCTCGACATTATCAAGTCAATTTCATAAAATACAATTCATTAATTTATTTAGAAGGTATTCTGCTCAACACTCCTTACACCATGTCCGCATCCGTCGAGATCCAAGATGAGATCGAGGCCCTCAACTCCATCTACGGCGACTCAACCCTCACATCCACCGAGTCCCCCACCTCCTTCATCCTCCATCTCCCAGGGACCAACCGGTCCTCCCTCCGCCTCACAATCCCCCCAAACTACCCGGACGTCCCGCCCGAGGTCGACTCCACCTTTAGCTCAGGCGGAGCTTCCCGGCCCGTAGCGGCGGCCGAACTCCGCCTCTTCAGACAGGCCATCTCTGCCGTCTTCCAGCCGGGCCTCGTCTGTCTATACGACGCCGTAGAAGAGCTCTCTTCCCTGTTAGAATCAGAAGAAGCGCTTCATGAGGCCAGCGCAGAAGAGGACCCAACGCAAGGAGCCCAAAATCAAGAAGCCCACGATGAGCCCGAGGTAGACTACGCCTCCATGCCCCCACCACCCTGGACTCTCTCCCTCCCCATAACAGAAAATCGCTCCACCTTCCTAGCACGAATAGCTCCCGTCTCATCCCCCGCGCAAGCGACACAATACGTGCAGCACCTCCTAGCAACAGACCGCAAGGCGCGCCAGGCCACGCATAACATCACGGCGTGGCGCATCCGCGGGCCAAACGGCACGTCGTTTCAGGATTATGACGACGACGGGGAGACGGCGGCGGGGGGCCGGCTGCTGCATCTTATGCAGGCGATGGATCTTTGGGATGTCATGGTCGTTGTGACGAGGTGGTTTGGCGGGTTGAAGTTGGGGCCGAGGAGGTTTGCGTTGATTAATACGGCGGCGAGGGATGGGTTTGTGAGGGCGGGGTTTGTTAAGGAAGGGGATGAGAAGAAGAAGAAGGGGAGGTGATTTGGAAAGAAGCCGACTTTCTTCCTCTTTTGAATTCTTTTCTTTTCTTTTTATATCAAACTCCAAGTCAGCGAGACGGTAGCGGGGTGGAGTTCATGAACCAACCATCCCATGCTCTCACTTCATGGTTCATGATATCAAGATTCCACTCCATGCGGCCTATAGAGGGCTATATTATACTGGTACACCGATTATTTTCCTTTTACTTCGCTTTGCCGCCAGATACCGAAAATATCAGTTATACCAAAGAAATACCCCCCCCCCCCCCCCCCCCCCTTTTTCTTAACTCCATCATCACCTATTTTTTCCCCGTCATCTTCAACCCAGTTACAACGCAAGCTGGGCAATCTATACCAAGACGCCCATTGGTAAACCAGCGTTTTACTTCCCCTCCTGCTTGTCCAGCATCGGTTTCAATATATCCAACGCTCGGATAGCCTGCTTCGTGGAGAGGATAACAGCCCCAGCTCTCGCGGTCGAGAGATACGACAATTCCGAGCTCCCCTGACTCTCCATATCGCCCACCAGCTTCCCAGCCACGCCGCATACGATACCGGTAGCCTCGTACGAGAGGCTAGACAGATCCAAAAAGATGGGCACGAGCTCGCCCTCGGTATCGCCAACGAGGGAGTCGCCGAAGATGTCTAAGAGGAATTTATCGAGGAGTAGCGAGGGCGGGTCATCTTTCGCCAAGGTGACGGAGAGGAATCGCGGTTGCGAGACGAAGGCCGATATCATGGCCGTGTAAAGTTTCGTGTCTACGTTATCCAGCCACGACGGGCGGCGAGTGTGGCCGTTCCCAGGTCTGCGCGACGACGACGAGTGGCGAGAAAACTCTTGGTTGATATGGGTTACTTCGCGTCCGGAGCACTGCACGAGGCGGAGGCCCTCTTCGATGTACGGGACGACGTTGCTTTTTCGGAGAAGATCAAACGCTCGATTTTGGAGTTCCGTCACGGTCGTCGACAGGGCCTGACTCGAAGCGGCAGTCGTCCTCGCATTCTCGTGGCCCCTAAACCTATAATCGGAATCGTTCTGCGCCAGCTGAAAACCGCGCGCCAACAAAGCCTGCGTAACGGCATGCTGCGCCTTTTTAGGCACGAGGATAAAGTCGGAATAATACGTGGCGATGAAGAAGATGGGGATTCCGGCCAGCGCGAGAGGCGACGTCAGCTCCATGACTCGGCTCGCGGCATCCATGCCGGCGCTTATGACGGAGATGACGAGGTAGTCGTCGGTGGAGACGGAAACGGCTTTCGCGGCGGCTTTCGAAAGGCATTTTATGGCGGGCTCGACGACGTTCTTGGCCCAGGAGCTGTGGCAGACGACGGAGCACTCGAGGGGGGTCACGCTGATGTTGAGGAAGCCATGTTGGTCGTCGGTGGTTAGGCCGTCGCGCTCGCGGCTAGGGGGAGATGTTGTTCCCTTGAGCGATTGGGTTTGGGGGAGGAGGACGCGGATGAGGGGTTGGAGGAGACACGGGTAGGATTGGAGGGGGATGTGTATGAGGGTAAAAGTCCCTTCCTATATCAAGAGACAGAGGGAAAAGTCAGCATGTACTCAGGATGACCCAGGCCATGATATCTGGGAAGCTCTACACAATAGAAATTGTAGCACTATTTCTATCTTGCGTAACGGTCTCCTTTCCATTCCAAATACCGGCCCTCACAGCAATGGAGAGAAATCATTGGCATTAATAACATACGAGGAAACTTATTTGAGCATTCATAATCAATGAAATGTCTGGTTACAATGTAGCGCTCAGGCAAACTTCGGGGTCTTCTTCTGTCCAATTCCGGTTGACGGCACGGGATGTTGCAGCGTAGGCGACGTGGGAGACATGCGGAGCGATGCAGTATACATCAAACCAAGGGCTTCACTCGGAAGCAAAGCCGGCCGGGAGCAGCAGGGAGAAAGCGTTTCGGAGATCGGGACCGCGGAGGAGGCGCCGGAAGATAGTTGCAGTTTTCCGAGACGAGATGCGATGAGACGAACACAAGTAAATGTTTCTGCAATTTCTCTTCTTCTTTTTTTTTTTTTTTTTCGTCCTTCTTTGCGAGATTGAAGGAGTCCGTTTGTAGGTGCTCGAGGGGATAGCTGCCAAAATAAAATAAGATAAAATAAAGAAAGGAAAAGGAAAAAAGGGAAAAATAGAGGAATGAATGCCGATGGAAGGCGAAGAAGAGTACGAAGGTAACGTCGACGAGTAACGTGGGCTTTATGACATCAACAAGCCTCGCACTAGAACGTGCCGAGGGCTGACAATGGAATAGCCAGGCGAGGCAGGAATACCAGGGCACAAAGTTCAAAGCCTCGTCCAAATGGTATAAATGGTATAAACTAGTCTAGGTGGTGGGCAGGACGCGGAACGAAGAATGTGGACAAGATCACGGGAAATGACGAAAGGAATCCGAGATGGCGGGGAGTTGGGATTCGGGCGAGGAGTAAGAAGAAGTACAAGAGAAGATGGTGTTTATCAATCCGGCACGAGGATGACTCTTCTTAAGAGTATTATTATTGGTAGTGGCAAGCGTTGAAGGGGAAGATTTCCGGGTTTTGGAGGTTAAGTATTACACAAACACACTACACAATTGATAGTCGAGATTCCTCTGTACATTGGATACATTTTGTGTTGGGAGAAGCCTTGGCCTTGCCCACATGGCAAGACCTTTGATTTCGATGCAATGACAATGACAATGGAGCGATGATAATATTGACATCGGCATCTGCAATATCTTATCGGGGGGGGGGCATCACACTAGTTTAAAATTTACAGTGGATGTTGTTAGAACATGTCTGGGCTTGATCTCGTTATGTTCTCGATAACGCCAGACCCAGACGAGGTAGGTCCCCGTGGCCCGAAGCCCGAAGCAGGGGAGGATATCCCGACCCGACGTAGCTCGTGCCTACTTCGTGGAGCCAGTAATTAGTGCATACACTACGAAGTACAACCGTCACTGGATAACAACATTGAACCTAGTCTACAATTCGGAGCAGGACTGGGTGGGGTGCGTGCTCCAAGGACCTGTGTGACGATAAACCTCAATGTACGAAGTATTGATCGATCAATGTCTTGACGATTGACAGAAGTCTGACCAACGCTGGCAATAAGTGGGCGTGCTTACTCCGTACTGCCTGGCTCAGAAGAGCCCACGCTTTCACTAACGTATGCGCCCTACGAAGTACACTGCGCGAAGTACTTATACTACACTAGTTGGTCTAGACCCCCCATTACAACGGCATGACGCACTTCACACTAGTGTACTTCGTACTGTGCTTTGGATATTGCGCTGGACCCTGCACTAATGGAAAGAGTGCATACTGTCTGCTGTCTGTTGGTGCCATTCCCCTGCGGGGCTTTCGCGGGGGGCTGAGGGAGAGCGGGGTGGGTGGTGGGAGATTGATGCGACAGTCGTATCAAATGCCCTTCGATTTTGTTCAGCGTTGAGAACACAGCGTCAAGGTTGATCTCACTCGAACCGTCGAGATCAACGTTCAACGTTTCGAATTAAGGTATCTCTATAGCAAAGATATTAGTACTGTCTAATACTTTACAAACCACTGTAGTATATGAGGAAGTCGTAACTGGAGTGGAAGGGAAGGTTCAGGATGAATGCAATACGAATCAAGAAAGACCATTTCCCCACGAAGTCGGTCTCAAACACTGGGAAGGCAAGAGCGAGATCATCCAGGAAGAGGGAAGGCAGGAACGAAGTGTGAAACTCGAGGTATGCGCAGTGTACACTACTTCCTACATTGTAGTAACTTCATGTGATCGCCGTGCATCTCCCGAACCTGACTTTATAACTTTTATATGGTTCGACCCAACGATCAACCACGCCTTGAGGAAGCTGGCAAGAGAAGCCTCATTTCAGCAGCCAGACATTTTCAATATCCGCCCATTGATGCAGAGTCGATGAAAGACCTAGGGCTGATGTCGTGATTTTGATCCCTCGGAATCCGCCACCACCTCCTGAACCAAGTGTTGAATTCTCCCTGACATCCAACATCCCACTTGACAGAATAGGGATGGGACAGGGATGATGGGGGGACGAGCCTGTCACGGTGTCACCCCTGCAAGGTCGTCACCTCTCTTCAACTTTCCTTGCTTCTGCAGGGTTCCGGGAGGTTGACAACTTGACAGCACGGGAGAAAAGGCGGGGGGAGCTTTTACGCACAGCCGCTGATCCGGCGACATGGATGTTGGCAGGCGACTCAACGTGCTTGATCTCGAATGCTCCGAACTGCTTCATCTGAGCCAGAAGGATGTACCTGTTATATTCTTGGGGATTCCATCTGGAGAATCCCGTTCTCTCATCAACGCAACCACCAAGTTTTGGAGTTGATCCACCATCCTTTGGTTGCAACTCGACTTCTCGAACGAGCAACGCGTGAAATTTTTTGGCTTTTTACAATCCAAGACATCTCGATGCAAGATCAATTCCAAACTTAGGTGCTTACAGGCACCCATGCTCGAGGTGACACCCTCCAACATCTCCATCCTGGCTAGCTGAGAGGCCCACACGATGCATGATGGCAACCGAGACAAACGGATGATGCGATCAGAGGACGCACTCGACGCAGACCTCTCCGATCTTCAATGATCATCACTGCATTGTCACACAAATTGACCGACCAATTGTTGACCAGACCTTTCTTTCGACAGACCCTGGCGGAAGCATCCAGTCGCCAAGAAGAAAAAATTTTTCATTTCAAATGGAATAAAATAGGTAGACAAAGAAAAAGGATCAGAGAAGAAGAGAGTGAGAAAAAAGAAAGGGGAAATAGGGAAAAGGAGAAAGACCAAAGAGGAGAAGCATGCCCCTCAAGTTCGTATTTCAACCATTAACAACAACCGCAACCGACGACGTCGAGCTTGAGAGCTCGCTCAATGTGGACTCATAAAACGGGCCGTGTTATAGGGATCACCGTCTGACAGCAGCTCGCCTCCACCCACGATGATGACAACCTGGATACGGGTTGGGGTCCTAGGATTTTAGGTCGTTCGAGATCCAGTGTAGGAGTGCACTCTCATCATCGAGATGTCCATGCTGTCTTCCAACTTTTGCTGTGGATATCCGCCCAGGTGGGTAAGCCCCTTCTCGCTAACCTGCTTGGCGCATACCTACATACTAAAGCACTACCAAGCCATGTCCTGCACGAAATTAGCCCAAAGCCCATGAACGCAGAACCAACATCACTTAATTGATCCTTCCCAGCCACTCAGTCCCGGCCAGATTTGCCGCTGCTGCGACCGGTATCTGTCTTCAATACGAATAGTATGATCGGCAACATACAAGTACAGAGGTGGTCGGCGGATGGGAAATGAGCGGGGGTGTGGGGAGACCTGCACCTTTTCTGTACGGTTTCCGAACCACCGAGATTTCGAAGGTCCACTCGACAGGGCCACAGTACAGTATGCCAGAGAGTTTGGCTCTGCCGTTCACCCTCGATGCGCCCTCCTTATCTTGCGTTGCTATTCAACGCAGCAGATAGATCGTGTGGTCGTGAATGAGATTCTCCACCGGCTCTGACCCCTATCAGTGGATACAAATGGCTGACCTACATAGCGTCAAAACCCCCACGCCTAAGACGGGCAGGTCCATCCGCCGGAGCTTCGGTTCTCAGTGATCGGAACCCATCAACCGCTCGAATTCTCTCCCTCAGCTTTATCCCCAGACATATTTGATGGACTCCGTATAAACCTCGATCGCTGTCTCTCTTGTCTGTACCTCTGCACTTGTTCCGCTTCGGTGCTACGTGTATATTTGGAACGCTTCTAGCTGCTTCAAGGAATTCCTTGCATCCGAGAAGAGGGCCAATGTCTCTTTGTCGAGTGCCGGCCTGTCAGCCGCCATAGCCGCCTGAAACTCGAGTGCTGAAAACCTATCTCGCCGAATCTACATGGCGATCTTGGGACCAAGAATGAATTGGTCCCCCGGTCCTGGCCACGTTTCCTACGTTACACAGGCTGCAGAGCCTTCTGAGTAGCTTGGGCATTTCCTCTCGTTTATTTTTTTTTTTTCTCCCTCTTTCCCCTTCACTGTTCATTCCTCATTTTGCAGCCAGAATTATTGCCCACAGTAGGCTTTCTAGGCCAGCCAAGGGGGCATCATTTCTTTATGCCGACTATGACGAGGTTTCGCGGCGACTGCTTATAATCAAACACCGACTCTACCCAACAATGCTTAACCATGTCGGTATGCTCCTTGAGGAAGAGCCATCGGTCCGTCACAATCATAGCTTCGACGACGCCAGCGCTGAAAGCCATCAGGCTCCAGACGATAGCAATTTCCTTTTTCCGGGGCTCGTAGATCCTCTCGTAGTGCTCAATCTCTTCGTCCGTCATGCGTGCCATCTTCTCCTCCATCACCTCGGCGTATTGCTTGTAGCTGGTGTTCGTGGTCAGCTTGGCCACGGCGGCTCTCACGTACTTTTTGAAGGAGTCGTAGGAGCCCTTGCGCAAAGACCCGAGGATGACGGGATTCGTGCTCATATCAAACGGGCTCTCTTGCTCTTGTTGCTGCTGCTCGGAGGTCGAGTCCGCTGCAGTAGTAGATCCACCGTCGGGGTGGTGGCGGACTCTACTAACGACGCCGCGGTCGAGAAAAATCTTTTGCAGGACGGCGCGGAAGTAGTGCCGCGTAAAGAAATCCTCGCTGTCGTTCTCGGTCCAATTCTGCGGGGCCTGGCACGCCATCATGCGGGCGGTGATGTTAAAACGCACGCCATTCCCGCCGTGGTTGACGAACCTGTCGCTCATGGGGAACCCTTCGGGGTCGTACTTGGCGGACTCGCGAGCCACGCGTCCGTTCAGAGGTTGTAGGCTTGGGCGCATATAAGGGTAGTTGTAGTCGGGGGGGCCGAGTCTCTCGGTCAGGAGGTTGTAGCAGCATCCTACGATGGCGACAGCTTGGATGGAGGGGTTTAGGATGAGGGAGCGGATTCCAAAGTTGGATAGGTTCCCGCACGAGTGGATTGAGATGGTCATTAGCCTTTGGTCGTCGTTCTCCTCTCCTTGAGCGGGCTGCTCTTCCGTGTCGGGCCCGGCACCACCGTCATTAGTTTTGGGGGTTTTTATCTTGGAGATGATGTGTCCGAGATGGCCGTTTTCCAATCTGCCCACGATATATTGGACGGAACCTTTACCGTCCTCGTACACATAGGAAGAGTCTTCCGACCCAATCTGCTCGCGGGGCCGCAAATCAGCAACGGGATCCACGGGGGCCTCGAGACCCTTAGCCAATCTCCTCCGCGCCTTCGGCGACAGCTGTTCCTCCGGCGTCTGGATATCGACGAGATGCTGGTAGAGCTTCTTGTTCCGGATGACTTCGGGCATATTCGCGATGCCCGCCATCCGATCCAGGTTCTTGGCCCCCGCGATGTTGTGCTCGCGGCCCTCGACGGCGACGACGTGCCGGTTGTACGGCGGACAGGCTAAGGTCCTGCCGAGGTAATTCTGGCCGCTGCCAAAGTCGACGAGGTGCGTGATGGCCTGCCGCTGCTTTTGTGCCTTTCCGTCGTTATCATTACTTTGGCAGATGTCCTCGACTAGTCTGTCGACGTAGTCGGCGAAGTTGGTGACTTCGTGGATTTTCTTCGTCTTCATCCCCAGCGCAACTTTCCTGGGTAACACGGGGAGTTTCTGCTTCCTGGGCGTGAAGGACCGGTCGAGGGATAACCTGCGGATCTGCGCGATGTACTCTACGAGGCCCTTTGGAGGTTTCACTCCCGATTTGGTCAAGTTCTCACCTCTATCCTGGCCGAGATCATCTCTCATGAGAAGATCTAAAAAGTCCATAATGTCGCATTGTAATAGGAACTCGCGCCATTCTTGATCAAAAACGGTGGCGAAGAGCCCGGGTTCCGAGGTGAAGAAGTCGAGGATGTGGACGCCGCCGCAGAGGATTTGGAAGAGGTCGGATGTGGTGCTGAAGTGGAGGAGGGCATTGATGTATTCTTCTGGGGAGTTAAACTCTTCCGAGTAGGGGAGAGGTTTTTCGGGGATCATTTTGAGGGGGGAGGGGGGTTAGACGGGAGTGGAGGTTTCGTGATGAGGAGGTTTTATATATCCGGGGGTGGTGAGTGAGAGTGAGCGAGTGTGTTAGTCGGAGATGAAATTTTGGGTGTTATGCGGGGTCTTTTTTTTTTTCAACCATTTTTTTTCCCTCTTGGTTCGGGTGTAAGCGCGAGCGCCTTTTACGACCAGTCGGCTACTTTCCAGCGCCAAGCGCCTGTAAAGTGATATCCGGGGAAACTGAGAGCATTTCCGTGAGAGCTAGTTATGGTTCAATCTTGGTTATCCCTCTGCTTCTCTTCTCCTTCATCCAAAATTACCAATATTGCTATTATTTGGCTTTTCTTTCATATACAAATATTGTTGTTTTGAGGTTGGAATTCCTAACAAAGACAGCTGATGCTCACCAGCAGCAGTCCAGTCCTCGAGTTTTAGTCGAGGCTCACCAGCAGCAGCCCAGTCCTCGAGTTTTAGTCGAGCCAAGGAGGGTGGAATCGAACTTGAAGAATGGTTTAAATGGCAGGGTTTGTAGGAAATGCAAATTAAATCCCCCCCCAAAGGATGCAAAAGCAAAAGTTTTCAGTTAGCCGAGCATTGCATTTTTGCAGGTTGTTGTCCCCCAAAAAAAGTCCAACAAAAACAGGCTCTCCAATTCGAATAGAAAGCCTATGAAAACCGCATTTCAGCGCAAGGTTTTCACCGAGTGCTCTTCAGGATGCTTCATCCCGGACCACTCGGTGTGACCCCAGCGTCGGGGAATTAGTTATATGTCTTTACTTCAGAAAATTCTGGCGTGGTGATTCAAGGGAATGGAAACAAGCTGTTGGATGCTTCCTTCCACTTAAAGATGTGGATACGAGATTTTCGAGGTGAAAGGCCGTATTACATAATCGACACTGCTTGAACGTGTCGACAATGACTCGAGGCATGTGAATCCAATTCCGATGAATTACCGGCCCAGCATCCAGGCACCTCCCAAACGTCACCTTGGCCTTATGCGGCGCGCATCCGAACGAATATCGAAGCCTAACAAGTTCTCTGCAAAAGACATCTGATGCCGCAAGCTGCGTCCCACGTTTCTCTCGATATGAAAATATAGATCTGGCTCTATCCGAAAGGTAGCGGTTGTCAAACATGATGTCCTCAACTAACGAGGAGGACCCCTTCCTCCAAGTACAACAGTACGTCCACCATTCCCTCTCAGCCCGGATCTCCATCTGATGTCCCTAGAGCTAACCAATATTCTGCGCCTAAAAACAGAGACGTCCTCTCCCAGCTCTCCTCAACCCGCCAACTCTTCACCTCCTACCTCCGCATTCTCTCCCTCACAACAACCACCCACGCCGCCTCCCCCACCCCCGAACTTAAATCCGCCCTCTCCGACCTCGAATCCTCCCTCGCCTCCTTATCCGAAGATGTTACCGACCTCTCCGACGCCGTGGCAGCCGCCGAGTCGGCCCCCGACCGCTTCGGGCTTAGCCAGGCCGAGGTCGATCGGCGACGACGGACGGTGCAAGAAGTACGCGGGGAGATAGACGATATGAAGGAGGAGATTCTAAAGGGAGGGGCGAGGAAAAACACCTCGCGCGGGAAGGCGCCAGCCGATGATTCGATATTACCCGATCCTAATAAGTTTGGGCTAGGGGATGAGGGGGAAGAGGACGAGGATCATTACGCCGAGTTTGAGCAGAGGCAGCAGATGCACATGCTCCGGGAGCAAGACACGCATCTCGACGGTGTTTTCCAGACGGTGGGGAACTTGAGGAGACAGGCGGATGATATGGGGAGGGAGCTGGAGGAGCAAAGTCATATGCTTGACGTGGTGGATGAGATGGCGGATCGCGTGGGCGGGAGGTTGCAGACGGGGATGCAGAAGCTGCAGTTTATTATGCGGAGGAATGAGGATACGTTGAGTAGTTGCTGTATTGCTGTGTTGATCTTTGCGTTGATTCTGTTGCTTGTTTTGCTGGTGGTGTTATAGAGTTGGGAAGGCCAACCGGGGGAGAGTGAAAGGGTATAGAGGGCCGGCGGGCTCGTGTAGCTATTATTGGGCTGCTGTGGTTTTCAGTTTCAATTTTTTCGATACTTGTTTCGCGGACGGGATAAAGGGGATTCAGGATGTTTTTTTCTCTTTTATTTTTATTTTCTTTCTGGATTGGCTCATGGCTACAGTCCCTTTACGGCTATACCACTTCTCGGAGCATGGAGTTTCTAGCGTCATGGAATCAATTTATCATTTTCGATACAGAGCATTGTCAAGAGCGAGGTGAACATGTCATAGGATCTATCACAAAGGTATTCTTCGTGCGGTCTCTCCTTCGATTGCCTCCCGATCTGCTGAGAGAGTATTTCCCACTGAAGCCACCGAGGAGCCTTCGATTATCAGACTCAGAGCCAGCAACCCGAAGGGAAAGGGGGAAAATAAATGTTAAAAAAAGATAAAAATAAACACACTACAAAGAAAAGAGTTGAGAAGCAAGAGAATAAAAAAAAAAAAGCGAAACAGCCAAAAAAGAGAAATCCTTGGACGCACCCGGAATCGAACCGGGGACCGCCTCTATGCTAAAGAGGAATTATACCACTAAACCATGCGCCCCGTTCCAGGGTTTCTCGTACCTTGTTGGATTCTCGGTCCGCTAAGTGGGATTGTATACCTGGTAGCGTTTTGCGTACTCCGTCCTGTTTAATGCGACGCTTAAAAGAGGGTGGTGGAGACGAGAAGGCGGTGATGGAGACATTTAAAATGAGGGTTGTGTGGGTCTGTGGAGGAAAGGAGAGCCGGTGAAGCGAGAAAGGGGAAAAAAGGAGCAGTCCAGCCCAGTAACCCGCTGCCATCCCTAATTGCCATTACGATGATTTGGATCAATTATCGCAATATAAATCCACTTAGAGATCCACCAATCCACATCAGAGATACAAGGCAAGGTGCCAGAGTGGTTAATGGGTGTGACTAGAAATCACATGGCTTCGGCCGCACAGGTTCGAATCCTGTCCTTGTCGTTTTTGGGCTCTTTGGGAAAGAGAGAGAGAGAGAGAGATTTTGACTTCTTCCTCGTTTCATTTTTATTTTTATTTTCATTGATTTAATTTCTTCCCTTTTCGTTTAGAGAAGTAGACTAGACTGCTAAATTTAACCCAGTCGTCGTGTCTACTTTGTGTTTAATTTTCGTCTTCTTTCCATTCTGTTTGTCTCTCTCGACAAGGTTAACTTCATAGACACTTCCCTAATTCGCCGAAACAATCACATTCATCACAAAGTGACTCTGCAAATCTGTTTGAACAAGAGAAGAAATAGAAACTGGGTATTCATCAATGCCATCTACCTTCTAACAACAGAATAAGCAAACCAAAAACTAAAGCCGACACCCCCCTCCCCTCATCAGTAAGTAGTAAGGAGTAGTAGTACGAAACTCTTTTGTGTGTGAGAATCAACAGTGTGGTGTGTAAGAGAGATAGAGACAGAGAGTCAAGGACTGGACGCAATGGCTTAAAAAGGCCATGCTAGGATGCTGCTCGAGTACTGACAGCAATCGAGTGGTAAGAGAGAAACCAGAAACGGCATCGAGTTTGAAAAGAAAAAGATAACAGATAGGAAAGATCGAATGTGTGCTCGCAGGGTATGAGTGTGTGTATGTCTGGCAATGCAGAACCAGAATAAAAGAAAAGAGAAGGAAAAAAAAAAAAAAAAAAGAGAAAACATTAGGAGATCCTCTCCATGTACGCTGCTAGAAATAGTTCCCGAGAATGCCCCGTGGCCGTTCCGTGTCGGATTTGCTTTCCTTTTGACACCGTTCATATGTCCCCGAGTACGCCAATGTTGTTAGGAGAAAAAAAAAAAAAAGGTCGTGAAATTAAAATGTCGAGTAAAAGTCTGGGCGTAGGTATCGAATGTTCTGCATCAATGGTTCAATGACCACACTTGAGAGCAGTAGATGTAAGTGGGTGAGTCTAGGTCTTTCGGAACAACCTCTTGGTGCCACCGATTTTCCCCATCTCCCCAAACAGATGCTCTCTCCCCTCGAGGCCGGTAGAGACTTTACGCTCGCCGCTAGCGAGCCGCACCTTCTCCTTGACGCTCTCCACCCAAGCGCGGCTCTCCTCGCTCATCTCGACGGGCTTGCTTGTCGGTCCGGCGAGTCCGAGCATCGGACTATCGGCCTCGCCCCAACTAAGTCGCGAGCTTGATCGAGACCGACTCGACGCGCCGGAAGACGGCGTGTGTTCCTGCCCTTGCGGCGCGCTGCTGCTGTTGTTGTTGTTAGGTACGGGCGTGTGAGGAGGCATAGGCGGTCGTCGCGCGAAGGACACAGTCGAGGCGAGATCGTCGCCCGCGCCGAAGCTTTTCCTAGTCTTCTTGACGTGAAGCGGCGTCATGGGGGAGTAATCGAGGGCCGACGCGGGCCTGCTCGGCGGGCTGGAACCGATACCGCCTCTGCTCGTGGATCCAGCGCGCGGGAGATCCCTAATCTCAATTTTGTCCGTGTTGGCGCCCTTGGATCTCCGACCGTGGTGCGAAGCGTATTCCTTGAGATATTCACCGAGGTCCGCCCAGCCGCCGCCGACCCGGACCATGACGCGCTCGCCGTTCTCGCCCACGCACCGGATGAAGAGCTTGATCGGGGCCTCACCCGTCGGCCGCGAAAGGTGGTAGACCTTGATGTCCTGCTGCGTGCTCTTTTGTCGAGGTCGCGGGTTCTTCGAGAACGCCGGCGCGAGTGTGAAGCCCGGGGTCGATGCTCTAGAGGAAACGCCGGACATGCTACTCCGCAGCGAATCCCGCAATGGATCTCTTGTGGGTGCGGACTTCTTGATGCGCGGCATTTGTGGCATTTTGAAGTCGGGAGGGTTGAGGTTGACGGTGCGCGAAGGCTCGGAAGTGAGGGTAAACTTGGCCGGAATGCCCTCCAGAATGTCGCTAATCTGCTGCTGGAGTTGATCGTCTACGCTTCCTGATTTGTTCGGCGTTCCGGACACACTAGGAGACTCGTCCATATCTTCGAGGAAGGATTCCGTAAACGGCGTGGTAGGCCGCATGTCCTCGTCGTCCTCTTCGATGGAAGGAATGGGGAGATACTCGCTAAACGTCACGGAGGACGCCCGAGGCTTTGCGCGCAAAAGCGGGGAGCTAGACAGGCTGACTGCGTCGTCCTCCATATCTAGCTGACTCGGTCGTGCGATGAGGGATGGAGAGGAATCGAGTAATCCTTCTTCGTCGATGCCGACGGGCGAAAAAGCGGGAGCCTTGCCGCTTCCGGGAGTTAATAAGTTCACGTCGCTCGGTAAAGGCGGTAATTCTCCGTCATCCTCGCTTTCTCCATCTGTGCTTCGGTCTCGGTCCGAGGACACCCCGGTCTGCTTGTCTGCGGAGACATCCTTGGATGACGTGGATCGCTCTGAGATAACGTCGATGAGTACTCCTCCCTCTCTCTCATAGTCCTCGCTATCCGAGTCGGAGATGGACTGTTCTTGGCTGGGCTGTACACTATCCTTGGGATGGGAGTCATCAACCGATACACCCCCATCATCCCGCGCAGTATCGTTGGCTTCTACGACGTCGTCTGTGTCGACCTGTTTAAGTTCAGGATCGGTAGAAGCGTTAGGAGTCGCAGGGTTGACATCGGATACCGTCACATCAATGACATCAATGACAGGCTCAGGTGGATTTGTTGTCTGGGCCACGGGGGGTGCAACAGCTTTGAGCTGTTCAGGCTGTACAAGAAGAAGAGACTTTCTCCGCTCCTCCGCTGCGCTTCTAGCCCACTCGGCCTCGCGGATCTTAGCATCGCAAGCAACAACCCAATCGCTGTACCCACGCTCCACAGCCTCCATCCGATCCAGCCACTCGTCGGGCAGTGTGTCGTCAAGCCCCTCTAGACAGTCCAGCATGTAATCGAGGATGCGGCCGGGACTCGTCACCTTCTTCTCTAGCACGAGCCGCATGATCTGAGAGTCCTTCTTCGATATCGTCGTAAACGTGCCCACATCTTCCCCGAGCACGCTGACATCTTCGCCGGGAACTGTCTTTGACGGTAAGAATAACGCATCCCACCCCGATCGAAGGGCAACCTCGGCATCTTCGATAGCTTCTAAGAAGCTCGGTATCAGGCGGAGAACAGAGATTCGAATATTCCAAATGTTGAGCATGCGCGTTAACCTTGACAGGTTCGGTAGCGCCTGCACGACGATGGCCGTGACTACAGCCGTCATATCCTCCATCCGAGTGTACAGTAGCGATGAAGTCGTTATCCGAGACGAGTCCGAGATCACCGACATTGGCGTGCCTGGCCTTGAAAGGGGCATGATGTGGTTGTGAAGCACGTGGGCTTTGATCTCTTCTATCCCCAACTGATCCATCTCGTGGCTTATCTCCTCGATTCTTCGGTCGTATCGTGACGTATCGGAAATGGGAATACTATCGAAGAACTCGGTGCCGCCAATCGTCCTACGGCTCTCGGTCACGGAAAGCTGAAAGCCAGAGGAGCCGCCGCTCACAGGCCAAGGCCAGTCTGAGAGCTCATCCAGCCATTCCTGGATAGTCTGCGAGGCGACAGCGGTTCGCATGACAAAGGCCTTCTCGGAAGGTGCGGCGCCATCTAAACATCGTTGAAGGGTAACAGAGGGATCGCGGAGGGCAGCAACGGCAGAGCCCGGGGCTAAATCGGCTATGAGATCATCCGAGGGCCGCGGGCGGGTCGGGGTCTGAGGGGAAAATTGGCGTCTCGGGGTAGGTCGAAGTTGGTGCTGTCCCGCGGTGGGAAAGATTCCGGGAAAAGGAGGGTCGTTCATAATGATTAGGAGAGAAAAAAAATGAGGTAGGTGGACCTCGCCAGTCGTCGTGTGATCGTGATCAGTCGCTTAGTTTGGTAGTAAAAAGGTGTGTGTGTATATTGGGTTGATTTTCGTTCTCTGCTGTATCTGGGTTAGTCGGACTATCGCGGCAGGAAAGGCCCTGACGCGAAGCATCTCGCAATTTGTGCTGTTTTTCGCAGGTTTTGTTGTTCCCTAAGACCCCGGAGGAAAGACGACGTCGACAATCGGAAACATGCCCATGGTCGTTGAGAGGTCGTTAAATCTGTACAACGGCATCATCGAAGTGTGGCTGGGACATGCGGGAGAAGGATCGAAAATCGGTTTGGCAGGCAGAGAGAACGACGGGTCGAGGAGGAAAGGTAAAGCGAGGGACGAAAGGTAAAAGAAAGCTGAAACAAGAAAAGAGAAGGTGCTCGTGATTCTAGGAGGTGCTAAAGGAGAGAAATCCGCCGACGGTGGTGGGGAATAGTGCGAAAGTCTAAGGTAAGGGACCAGATGGTTTTCTCAGGGAGAAGAGAGAAGACGTTGGAAATGAAGATGGGGAAAAATGAGGCAGTTGCCCGGTCCGGCAGGATCCTTGTCATTCCGTGGCTTCTACATGAAGCCTGGACACCATCGAAAGCACTGATCACTGCACTTGTCGTCGTCCCCCAAACCCAGTCCGTTTGCTAGAAGGCTGGAGGTGGGCACAGCAAGGGAGTTGAGAGTTGATGTCTCGGACAGCGACGCTCTGCCACGACGTCCATCGGACAGATGCGGTGTCTGGAAGCGAGACAAAACTTATAAAAACGAGGAAAAAAAGGAAAAATTGCTTTGAAGAGAAATGGACACGACCACTGACCAAAAACAGGGATCAGAATGAACCATGAATCAATTCTATTATTATTTGCAATCCAGCGTGGTACGTCAATCGGACACTGCGACGACAAATCTACCTTTTTGCTGGGTCGCTCCCAAGTACCTGGCACAGTAAGACTCACACGAACTGGTGCCTGAAGTGGGTTCAGATCTCGTGAGTCCGGTGGGTCTTGGATGCTGGAAGGCCTCTGAGTGGTGTTAGACGGTCGCTATAAGACCAGATGAACACAGTGCATACTGCCAAGGTAACGCTGGTATGGTACAAGTTAGACCCTTGCATGACGTTTGATCTCTTCAAACGGAGATTGAGAAATTACAATGCATCGATCTGACTCCACCTCCACCATCCAAGACTGTGTCATGGGTACCTCTTGAAACGGAAAAGGTATCATCTCGCATAGTCACCTGCTTAGTATACCTTAGTACCTAGGAACTGTACCTTATAGTCACCATGTTTGTGGCCCCCAGCAAATTGGTGGTGTACATTACTTCGTAGTGGATTTGTCCAGTATTGGATGGACAGGACGCCAGTCAACAACTCCAAATGAGCATAGTCTTCAAATAGTCCAGATAGTCCAAATAGCCTTCTGAAGATCCCTGGATAAGCTGAAGAATTCCAATAGCCTAATCCCTATGATCGACAGCCATCCATCAAATTACCCAAGTCGTATCCGAGGACAACCTTGGAGAAAAAACCATCGCACGAATATCTCAGTTTTGTCGATCAAGACCGCCCAATCTCTCGATACTTGTACGAAGTAAAAGTCGGTGTTCGTCCAGTCTGCCCATTAGTACATTCCAGTATCCAGGGAAGTCATAGCAGATACCACTGACTCAACTTTCCTTACTACCCAGTAATTTGATCGTTCGCAAAGCCCCGGCATCACGACTCCTGAACAACCCAAACTAGCGTCACCAGCGTCTCAATCCTCTCAAGCGACACTCAGCCCAATAAACCACATAGGAAAAGAAAAAGGAAAGAAAAACACAAGAGAAAAGATCACCGAAGCTGAGTCGCCTACTTCCCCCGTTGCTGGCGGCCTGCTCGAGTGTTCTCCCGCCGTGCTGTGCTGGGGGCATCTCAACTCAATATTAGGTCCCTGCATTCGAACCTACAAGGGCTTGGCTAATCTGCCAGCACCAACGTGGACGCATCGACCAACTTCGGTGAAAGATCCCAGTCAAATCCTGGACTATACAATTATGAGGTCATCTCAGGCTTGCGTCGCCATCCCCGCGGGGCGGTGTGCTCCTTCCTCAGGCTAGGTTGTGGCGTGGGGGAGAGGGGAGAGTTCCCTCCCACAGTTAACTGAGCAGGCAGTGGTTCGAGGCTCAACAGCTGGCCTTGAGTCCTGATTGTGGAAGGGCTCAAAAGTGTCTCAGCTCAGCTCCACAGGGATCTTATCTCATCCGAACTGGCACTGTGTTGAGTTCGCGGGGAATGCTGGGAACGAGCTAAACTTAGTTTAACTGCTTTCTGATTGGGAATGGCCAAACTAACTCTGCGAGCACCAAGACGAGACGGACTTTCGTTTTTACCTCCCAGAAAGAAACAAGCGTACCATTGTAAGATCTTCTTCTTCAGGCAAACATTACAACTGTAAACCAAGGCAAGTGGAACGGTAATAAGCCAAGCTATTATCCCATAAAATCATCATGATATTTGGTTGGGGCAACCGCGAAAGCCACGTTTTGAAACCCCGAGTCTTTACGGGGGAGGCCCCGTCCCCAGGTCGGGACGGTTGCGGGGCCTCTGTCGAGCCTGACAGAAGGTGGCAGGTTCTTGGAAGAAAACCCTAAAGGGTTAGGTTACGTATGCCGTAAGATCACTTGTTAAAAGGTGGACAGATAAAATAGTTTGTACTTCGTACTCTAAATTCTGGGCGTTTATAGAGGTGCATAGAATCCGTAAGATCGATGATGTGGGCGGAGGATGTCGGAAGCACATGTCAGCAGACTTCCTCGCATGTATCTCCCCAGTACGGAGTATAGAGCCTCTGGTGGATGCCTGTCGTCCAATATGGGTTTGGAATCGTTGATTCCATCATTCAGTTTTCCAGCACCAAAGTTCCGGGGCACTCCGAACTGTATGACTAGAAAGCACCTCAGCTTCAAAACGATAGCCACCGGATCTGCGGATTAAACAGCTAATCGGTATGCATCACACACTCAACTCACATCACCACGAGCAAGGCAAAGAACAAATTTCAATGTTCGCAACGTATATTCGTTTTGATTTCCCCCTCCCATCCCTCTCCAGTTCAGATAGATAGATACATCTTCCTACAAAGCATATCCAAACGTATAAATACCGATCTCGCCGGGGCTTGGATCCCGGCGAGAATCGGAGCCATATGCGGGGCCATCGGCCCCACTTCGTATTTTGGCACGGCACTTCGAACCGGCCTGTTCTCAGTAAAATATAAAGAAAAAATGCAAAAAAAGAATCCGTCCATCCAGATATAGAACATGGCAACAGCAAGATAAATACTCCCTTATCCCTTCCCGACTCCATGGAACCCCGAAACTTCCTTTCTCGTTAAAAAGTCCCAACTAAAACTTTTTCTGAATAGCTTTTGTGCCTCTCCCAGCCCTCGAGATAATGAGAATAGAAAATGTCCCCGTCGTGGGTGTTCGAACAAGTTAAATAAAAAAAAAAAAAAAAAAAAGAGGAAATCAACAGGAAATGATTACATGATTTGTATCTTTGGGCTAGATAGCCGATTTGAACGCCCAGAGTCCCCGCAGGGGGGATGTACTGGCAGGGGAAAGAGAAAGCAAGTGTTTTTTTATATTTGAACAGCCACATCGATAGGGCCGACAGTGGTCTGGTCGACAGAGGCACCCTCCGTTGAGAACGCAGTCGCCCACGGAAGAACCTGCTCAGGCGCCAACTGCGCGGCGGAATCGTCATTGAACATGCCCGCCATGAAGGAGTCATCAGAGTTGCTGACACCTTCAGGAGGGAACTGGAGCCACTGATCCATATCCACATCGGCGTTCCAGTTGCCCTCTCCGAGGCCAGAGACGCCATTGTGGCCCCCGTTTTGCATCATGTCGTAGTCCATGTTCATCTCCTCAGATGAGCCGCTTGCGCTAGGAGTGAGTCCATAGGTTGCGGAGTCGACGTCCTTCTCCGTGTGAGGCGGGGACGCGGCGGACATCGCGACGGGAGTAGCCATAGTCGCGGGAGGAGTGAAAGTGGTGGCGGCGGCGGGCTGCTCTTGAGAGTAGCTCGCCGTGTACAACGACGCCTCGGGAGTTGTCATGTAGGGCGCATTCTCTGGAGGAGGAGTTTGCGCCGAAACACCATGAGGAGTATACTTGGTAGGAGGCGGTGGTACGGTAACGTTGGGTGTGGAGGAGGCGCTGAGGTCGATGGAGGCCTTGCGAAGCGCGCCGTCCAGGAAACCGGCCGCGTAATCAGCCGCGGCGTAAATATCTCGCAACCTTTCCATGACCTTCATGCACTGCTTGAATCCCCGAATGGCCCGCTCGCGGGTCTGGGGTACGGGGTTCTTCATGTCCAAAAGGTGAATGATCATGGCGGGCAGAACAACGGTAACACCAGATGTGGGGAGATATCGCTCAAGCCTGTATCGGTGAAGGTCTGCAGCCATCAGAGTGATGCGAGTGGCAGCATCGCGGACTCGGATTCTCGCCATCTCTTGGACGGGGCGAGACGCCATGAGCGCGTGGACTGGCGAGGCGGGGAGGAACTGAGGTCGGTGCAGAGCGGACACTGTCGTGTGGTAAACCATGTGGAGGAGCGTGCGGTGCACGGCAACGGTCGACTTTCCATCGCGAACGTCAAGAGGTGTGAGGGGGCGGTACTGGCAGGACTCGGGAAGAGCGCTCTCCCAAGAAATGAGGTCGAGGTCAACGGTCTTGACCATTTCCACATTGTTGGCCTTGTTGGGTAGCAGCATCATGGTGCTATGGGTCGTGTTCTCCGGTTGTGACTTGTCTCTTGCGAGGACAGAGTACTGAGCCTTGAGCATACGGCTGATGAGAATGCAGAGGTGCGCCTTGGCAACGCACAACTCAGCGAGGTCTTCCTGGACGGAGAGATCCCTCATAACGGCGCAATCAGGGGTGACGACGGTGTTGTCGTCAGGGAGGCACTCGATGTCGAAATCGGTCTTTTCCAACATGGGAACATCGAAATCCTCGTCCTTGATCCTAGTTGGGCGCCTCATGCCAAGCGCGATAAGGCGGTCCCTCATAAAGCAGGACCACCAGATTCGCTTCCACAGCTTCTGCTTCTTGGGCGGCATGTTCGACGCCGTGGGATTGCGGTGGAGGCCAATGGTGTGGGCAAGGCTGATGGCCACACCCATCCAGTGCCAGGTGTCCTTCTGATCGTCTGGGCTCTCATACCAGAAAGTCTTCAGCAAGAGGCCCTGAACAAGGACAACTCGGTCGGACTCGTAGTCGAAATCATACAACAACTGCGAACTCGATTAGGATTGACTTTAAAGGGCAAGCAGCTAGCATACACCGCCGCCATGGGGGCTAAAAATCAAAGCTTACCCTAGTTCTCTGGAAGAAGGCCTTGCGGGCGGCCTTCCGAGTGGGGTAACCAGCTTCCCGGAGCGGCTTCATGTCGACGAAAGCCGTAGCGGCAAACATGACAGCCTGGTACAGGAACAAGCTGAGCTGACCACGAGATCCGTCGCGGGCGTTGATAAGGCTGAGGAAGTCTTGCATGTCCAAGAGCGGCATGTAAGGATGCACGTACTCGGCGTAGGCCTGGACGAGCGCATTCTGGAGAGCAGTGCTGGGCAGGCTGAGCGCGCCCTTCTCACGCAGGAATTTCACATCCTGGGCTGAGACCTTTGCGGGGAATGGACGGATGAAGGGCGGGAGAAGAGTGCTGATATCGGGCTCCTCAGGGTTCCCGAGGAATTGGGAATTTCCACCGAAGAGGGCAACCTGGTTGAGAAGACTCGTCAATAGGCGGCGCGAGTTCTCATCTGTGATATTGCCGTAGCCAGGTTGTTGGTCTAGAGATTAATGCGGATTAGTTAATCGTTCATTACTCGTCCTTCCCCCCCTTCGTTTCGACCTTCCGTTCGCTCAGTTTGCCATTCCTGGTCCTTTCCGTTTCTTTCGTGACACAGTTTTTCCTTTGACTTTACATGTGACAGCGGGGGGGGGGAGAGGAGGTTGCTCCGAGCCTGCAGCAATTGCAACTTGCAACTTGACTCGTCCCGTGCACTTGTGACCCACCGCCACGAAGCCAAAGGAGTGGTCACCGGCGTCTGCTGTACGAGGTGAAGATGGCAGGGTGACATTGGATGTGAAAATGCAGGGAAAAAAAAGTATAGATTAAAGCACACTTACACAGCAGATTGGGCGACGCACCGCTCAATCCCGCACCCAGAAACAAGCCAGCGTTCCCGGCGCCGGGATTCAGCGAAGCAGCCGCATCAGTGCCAAGTAGCGACGGCGAGCTCGTGATAGGGATTGGGTTGGCGCCGATCGCGGAGACAGGCTTCACCTGGGCCTCGGCCCCCGAGGACATGTGCCTCGCGGCCGCAGCATTTGCAGCGAGTTGATGGATATTCTTCCTAAAAATTCAAAGCGCACTGGTTAGTGTTTCTGGGCAATTTCAATGTACTTCTCGAAGCATCGCGTTCGTTGTGAGATGACAATTCGGTGTGCATGCACAGCAATGGGGTTTTTTCCTTTTCGGAAAGGTGCCATTTGAATTGTTCCAGTGTTCCAGTAAACGGAAACAAGGAACACTCTGTCTTTGGCATTGATATGCAGGTTGCGTCATTGCTGGGCATTCAATCCTGGTATTTCCTCCCCTCGTCCCGTGGTGGCAGGGTCATGGGACTGGACTTCCGCTCACCCGTCTTCGCCACACCCACCCAGCAAAAGCAAAAGGTCACCAATGGTTCCTGGTTGTACTGTACACCGAAGTGCCTGCCAGGATCCTGGGGAAAGGATGGGGGAAGACCAACCAGCTCAAGCATCCATCTGCAATTGACAGGCGATCACAAGATGGAGGAAGCTTGGAGTCGTACGGTTGCAAGATCCCAAATCGAATAAAACAGTAAAAAATGAGGGGAAGAGGTGCGAGAACGACAGAATGAAAAGAATTGAAAACCCAAGGAAATGTAACTCACTTTCTCCTTCGAGATTCCTGCACAATACACTCGACGTTGTCCCACCTGCAATTCCCGCACGGCGCGCCCTCCACAACATCGCACCGCACCTTGCGAGCACGGCATGACACGCAGGCCCTCGCCGCACGCCTCTTGGTGACCTTGGCGGGACCGGAAGCATCGGGGCTCGAAGAGGCGCGCTTCTTCGGATTCGGGGGCGATGAGGCCCTCTGCAGAGTCGTCTTTCCGGGTGTGAGGGTGGCTCCCGGGACTGATGTGGCATCGGGCTTGCTGGTCGCCGGCGCCAGCACGGGGGCAGGGCTGATTGCAATCGGCGTCGGATTACCCTGAGACGCCATGGTGTTCTTGGTTCGCGGCTCTAAGATTCAAAATGGCTCTTCCGTTTTCTGTTTCTCGTAGAAAAAGGGGTCGAGGTCGAGATAATTTCAAGGTAGGCTCTGGTGTTTGGTTGGTGTAGAAGCAGACGACGTATTAACGCGAGATCGAGAGAAGCTTCGGATTTTTTCGAGTATTATTTATTTAATTTTTTTTTGTCCTTTTCTAACTTTTCGAGTGTTGGGAATTTGCAGTTGGAAAAAAAAAAAGTGGTGAATTGAGTGGAGATGTTGTTCAGGAGCCCTTTGGTTGTTATCGCGACATCGAAGACGAAGACGGAATGAGATGCGACCTTTTAAGGTATAAGTTGAGATCTTAGGGTGCGATGACACCTAACTGACAGACTGCTTCCCATGGAAGAAGCTTCAACACTCCTTTGCTTTGATAGGATTACCGATAGTGTCTCGAGCATTGGACGGCTCGAGTTTAAGAAATAGGAGCGGGTGGTGTAAGATGTTCGTGGTGAGGAAGACGAGTCACGACGATGACGATGTGAAAGGGGGGTGTGTGTGAGTGGATGATGATGTTGAAGGTAAGACAAGTTTAAGATGGGCAAGAGAGGAAGAGCAAGAAGCTTTCAACTACGCTTAGTGACTGTACAGGGAATTGGAAGAGATGACGAAGCCGGAAACCATGGGTTGGGGTAGGCGAATGTCTTGACAGGCCCAAGCTCGAGATCCTCAGAAGGCCAAAAAGGGCCAAGAAGACAACGATGGATGGTGGGGGAGGGGGGCGTTGGTTATTATACTTTTGTGCCTTTTTTCGATCTTCTCCAGTTCTCTCCATTTGCCTGGCCAGAATCTGGAGAAAAAGGGTGAAGCACACATTGGTCTCCTGTGCTGTGGTGTATTACTTCGTGGTCGTAGCGTGTACTATGAGCAGGCTTTGTGTACAAGGTACACCACGACACTCGAGGCGAAGAGTTGAGCATTGGAGTTGTGCTTGGTAGTGTTGGACTAATAGACTAGTACGCTCTCGGCTACAGATACACGCCCCCCCTTTCCCACCCCCAACTGACCCCCGGATACCCACCCCCCCCAACGCAGGTCATATTTCCTGTGGCTTGGCGCCACCGAGAGAAGGATGAGTGTCACAGACCGGTGACCTGGAGAAAATCATAAAGCTTCTCTCGGCCGGTTCCCCCAACCTGTTGATTACAGTGCATGCTGAGGTGTAAATTCCGCAAACAGGCCGCAAAAGATACTGGGCGGCCGACGGATCCGCACTCTGAACCTTGATGAGAGAAGAATCATGTCAATCAAAATCTCGACCACTTTTTCCAGCTTCGAAAGCTAGTCCCTGTACGAAGTAGGTCGTCTCAAATCCTGGGGCAAAGTCGACGCTTTCGAAACTAGAGCAAATAGTACTAGTAGTGTACTGCCTTCGTAAAAGCACTTGGGGCTATCAGGGTTAATAGGAAACATCGAACATTGAACGGTTAATGATGGGATTTGGGATTTGGGATTGACGGGGTACAATTTTAGTACAGTGCGATCGCACATTGGTTTAGTGTACATTGGCTACGCTACCACTTGCTGCACTAAGAGACCAAGAGACGAGAGCAAATGAAACCGGTACTGAAGAGTACATGGACCACTTAGACATCGGCAATGTGCCTTCCCCATAGTTTGGCCTCGATGCTAGACATCCAATAAAGACCCAATCCACGATTCTAATTGTACTCTGACGGGTTGCTACGTACAAGTACGAAGTACCGAATCCAAGTTCAAAACGGACCGTCGCATTCAAAAAAATTTTCCTCCTTCGTTTGAATGTGTCGTGTCGTCAGGGAAGGCGCCATGTGGTCCTCTCCAGTCTCCACGCATGTTGGGGTCAAGGTCGTGTTCCATTGTCTCCCAGCTTCAGACGACGCGAGAAAAAAGTGGGACATCAATGGATCAATGTCAATTTGGAGTTGATCTCTGTTTTCAACCTAGCTACAGCCTACAGGGCACAAGGAGACACGAGTGTTGAAGTGTTTCCCTTATCAAGGGGTTTATACTCTTTGTTGTTCGAAGACTCTGAAGACGGAAGCTGTGATGATTCCGAAGATCAACAAAATCCCGAAGAGTATTCCGAGAACCATTCCGAAAGGTGCTCCGTTCGGGTAAGGGACCCTTTCTTACAGGGTCAAGGTCCTGCCAGCGTCTTGCAAGGTACTTAAAATCCTCCCAGATGCAGAGGTCCAACCAACGTACTTGCATTGTACTAAGTACGGGCCAGAGACGTGAGAGATGCGTGGTCGGCGAATACGTACGTACTTCTCCGCAGGATCAACTACCACCGGCATAGCTACGACGTATTGATTCTTCTCTGGGTTGGGAGGCAGAGTAGTGGGGCGGGAAGCGTCCTGTGCTAACACAATGGACATTCATGATACTTGATGTCTGTTGTAAAGGTTTCTCGCCGTACTCGACACCTCAAATAAACCACTTCAATGACATTAGGATCCCAAAGCAGCAGCACACGTCTATTTTAATGAGCTTCCCGTGAATGTGCTGCGAGTATTATTATCAACAAGACAAATGGCTTCTTCCTTCGAAGATCATTAATTAGCCTACTCCGCACAAGACTCTGATACTTCGGACTTGAAATAAACAGCGAAATGGAGAAAAGTCGATCATCCAGATGACCTGGTAGCGGGGGCACCATTATGCCTCTTCTAGGGAAAACGTTACGGCGGGATTAGCGTCAATACGCATACTCTGACTCTTGAAAAGTTTCCAATCGTCAAGTTCTCTATTCTTCGATGGATGGTCGGAGCGCCCGCCAAGCGTTGGGGAATTGCCATCAGCTCCCTGTTTCGACATCCGTCTGCCACCACCGCCCATTTGCCTGCCTGGATGGACATATTTCCGGAACAAGTATCAATTGATGTACGAAGTACTTCGTACTTCAACCAAAATTGAGCAAGATTTGGCGTCATGTTCACAGTTTCTCCTCGCAGCCAATTGGCGTTCGCCCGTTGCCCATTTGGGTCAGTCCACGCCTCAGGAACTGTCTAGCAAAATTGATCTTTTTTTTTTCCCGCCCTCATGTCTTGGAAATCTGGAGTCGGGAGGCCTGGAGTCTAGACCCAGGACTGCACAGTAGCCGCAAGTCTCCGTCAGTTCGACGAATTATTTCTCCTAGTTTCCCAGTTTTGGAATTGTGCTAATAACTTCTCACCCACAAAACTCCAGGAAACCCCATGCATGGTCCCTCTGAAAATCCTCCTATGCGTATTGCACACTACACTACTTCGTAATGTACACTATCCGCTCTTCTCCTTCTCCACGTCGTGGAGACCAACCAGCAGAGCATACCAAGGCAGGCAGGCAGGGTAGGCAGTGAGGATGGATACGACCAAAGGAAGGTGGAGTCAAACTCCGAACTCCGTGAAAGTTCAGCAAATCTCCCCAGGTCGGTCAGGGTGTGTCCCACCGAGAAGAGTCTAGTCCCTTCCAGGGATGGTTTGCAAAACAGAGCTCTTGGCCTGCATCGCCTCTCATTGCGAGAGGAATCCACTATCCAAGATGCGTGATAATACTGGTCTAATATAGATGGCGCGGGCTCCATGCTGCTACGTTCGGGCAGGTCAGCGGCCTCACCTTTCTTCAATTTCGAGTTAAACTACTTCGTAGTATCGGTGTGTTTGGTCTCTTTCAGCTTGGCAGCGCAGGAAAAGAAGAAGAAAAAAAAAAAAAAAAAAAAAAAAAAAAAAAAAAACTTCGTGAATGACCAGTCGTCTGATACCGAAAGCTTTGAAGGCAATGGCTGTCGATCACTTGGCCTCTCTTGGCGTTGCCTTCTTGGCTCGCTCTTCCCTGTCTGAGTCATCCTGCTCATGTTCACGATCACGACACGAATCCACGATGCAAGCGAAGCGAGTACTCCGTAGTTCGTACCTGGTAGGCTGTTAGCCCGCTTCGAACTACGATGCATTGACATGCCTACATCCTCATTGAATTGTAGCAACGTCAAGGTACTACTTCGTAATACTTTGTAATTTGCAAAGCCCGATCTTCCTCTCTTTTCATGCACCAACTGTTAGTGGATGATACAATGCTCTCCTTCTCCGCCTCCGCCTCCGGCTCCTCATGCTTCCCCAACATTTTCAACAATGCATTGATCAATCAATCAATTGCGGCTTTGTAGTTTGTACCGCGCCCTCACGCCCTCGACTAAACCTATTCTTACCACCCCTTATCGCTAGTGTAGCCGCCCTTCATCGATTATCAGAAGGGCAGTGCTCTTCCTTTAGCTCCATTATCTTTCTCCTCATGTTCTCTTTCCCCACCATTACGACCCAGTCAAAACGCGAGGAAATCAATTTGCATGGAGGCGAATGGAGAAAACCGGAGCCTGGAGGCGAACACTCAATCTTGACAGACTAAGACGACACCACACAGGCCACACACACACTCCCACCACCACGACCATCATCATGGATATCTGGAGGCCGGTTTCGCCTCATTGGCCAATGATTCAGGGTATCACATTCATCCACGATCCTGCAGAAACTGTAACTTTGACGTTCCCCGTTTTTGGAGGCGGGGAAGGGATCTGGGGGAGTACTTGTACATTACACTATTCCTTTTAGACGCCAGGGGTATTTGGTCCCTGCCTCGCTTCCTGGAGTTTGTGGACGAGGGCGCAACGTGGTCTTCCTTGCTCAGCGGTGGTCAATCAAGGATCCAAGCCCTGGCTTGCAAATCGCAAGAGCCTCACGCGGTCACTCACAGATGTCATATCCTGGTGATGACACTAAGCGTGAAGCTCTTACCCTACACTCCACCATCTTCCGCCGACCTGGGGGGTAGCAAGCCGCCTCCTCATTTTCTGATCGTCGAGCGCCGTTCGACCGATCGATGCGATTTAGCCCCCAGCTTTCGATCGCAAGAAGATATTGGCTGCGGTCGCGTGGTTTGCCTTGTTGGCTAGACCTTCCCGCGATGAGTATAAGCTACTCAGCGACCTATGG